CGACAGCCTTTCTGGGCCACGACGATAATCATGTGTTGTTTGGCCCCGGTTGTAGATCTCGGACCGAAGCCGTTTTGGTGGTCCCATCGAGCGATACTTGAATTTCCAAGTCCAAGTTTTGTAGTTCCTTTTCTCTCTTTTTCATTTCACGGACGACTCCCTTTTGTTGTCGTTTTCGTTCAATCTTTTCGTCGACTTTTCCCTCCAATTCAGCGCCCTTGTCCAAATCAAATTTGGCCAATACTGCAAATGCCAAGACGGCTCCAAAGTCAATGGCCAAGTTAACGTACTGAAAACATAATGAATGCATTCAGAAGATTAGTTAGTCAAGAATAGAAAAACTTGTCACAACTTTAGTCAGTCAGTTGTTGATACTGACTCACCTCGGTATTCAAGTCGACATCGGTCCTGGCACCACTAAGGGCAGCCAATGTTCCCGCCAGAGTGATGAATCCACCCACAGCGGCACCAGATCCCAATGATCCGTAGAGGAACAATCGCAGAGTCCTCCAGGGTGCAATACTCTCTGAAACCAATTTGGTTCGCAATCCTTCATCGAATGGTCCTTTCGTTTTCTTCTTTTGGTCTTCGTTGGAACTGCTCATTTGCAGGGCTGTCTCACTGCTGCCAAAGAAGAACTTGGGCACAACATGGCTGGCAGCAACCTTGGGAGTGGAAACTTGGAATGCCGTGGTTCCACCAACAAAAAGGGCCAGGCACAGAAGGAAGGAGAATCGCATCATCCTAACGAATAATTAATTATAAATTGCAAACAATGCTGACAGGACAGCTTGGCCTGGAAATTGTGCTCTCTGGCGGCAAGATAGTTGATCTGCTTTGAGACAGTAGCCAAAGGCATCAAGAAATGGTGCAAGGTTGAAGCTCTTGGCTTCTCCCCAGCTGACTTTGCCGATGATCGAGGCGTGGGATCCACTCGGTTTGGACGTTGGAAGAAGAAACTGGCTTTGCGAAAATCTTTGACACCCAAAACGATGACGTCAGTGCCAAAGCTGAAGCTTTTGACAGTGAGAAGATCCATCATGGCATCACAACGGCAAACTCAGCGGCACCAGAGCAACCACGCTCCCATTGGATGTTGCCACACAGGAGGAGACGTCTCAAGTGCATTTAGGTTTAATTACAGCGACTATCTGGCAGTGTTCACAAAACACAATCCAATTCGCAGTTTGATTATTTGCACAAAAATCAGACAGCAATGACCATCCCAAGGTATCTGACGGCAGCCCTGTGGCTGCTAACTGCAGTCGCCGCCTTTTCTCCCACTACTACCACCACTCGCCATCCACTGCACTCGGTACAATCATCATCATCTTTCAAGCTCGCCTCTGCTGCCGCCAACGAGGATGTTTGTACCATTCAGATCCTAATGAGTGACACGGGTGGTGGTCATCGAGCATCTGCCAATGCTTTGAGAGATGCTTTTGATGTCTTGCATCCCGGAAAGATACAATGCGACATTGTCGACATCTTTACCGATTACGGACCCTTCTGGCCGTTTACCGATTATCCTGCCATTTACAAAATCATGGCCGAATACAGCTTTTTGTGGGATTGGTTCTATCACTTGGGAGCTTCACCCTTTGGCATTGCCGTCAACGAATTCCTCATGGAACTCTTTTGCTTTGATTCCTTTCAAGAGTGCCTAGCACGACCATCCGGATCCACCAACCATCGGGCGGACATGGTCATTAGTGTCCATCCACTCTGTCAGGACGTGCCACTCAAAATCTTGTCTTCCTTGGACACCAACGGGCAAACACGGTCTCCCGATGCCCGTACGACACCATTTGTCACTGTTGTGACTGATTTGGGCGGGGCCCATCCAACGTGGTTCAACAAGGGTGTCAACAAGTGTTTTGTACCCACAGATGCACTCTATCAATGTGCACGAGATCGCAACGTCCAACCCGACCAGCTTGTGCAGTATGGACTCCCCATTCGGAGAGGATTCTGGGACCAGGCTTCGGGCAAGGAACAGAAAACACCCGTCCAGTTGCGACAGGAACTGGGACTCGACGTGGAATTGCCAACCGTACTCATGGTGGGAGGTGGAGATGGGATGGGTGGTATTGTAGATATTGCCGCAGAAGTTGGCGACAAGTTGGGATCTGGTAGTTCCACACCGGCCTATCAAATGGTGGTAGTTTGTGGAAGCAACGAAAAGGCCAAGCAAGCACTTTCCTCAAAGCAATTTGGGGATGGCGTCAAGGTCAATGTACAAGGATTTGTCAACAATATGGATGAATGGATGCAGGCATCGGATGCAATCGTCACCAAGGCGGGACCTGGAACCATTGCAGAAGCATCGATTTGTGGATTGCCTTGCATGCTATTCTCCTACCTACCTGGCCAGGAAGAAGGCAATGTTCCCTTTGTGGAGAATTCAGGCTTTGGCAAATTCAGTGGAGATCCAACAGTAATTGCCGAAACGGTGAGTTCGTGGTTGGCATCGCCCGAGAAAATGAACTCGCTCAAGGAGGCTGCCTTGCAAGCAGCAAGACCTTCGGCGACATTGGATATTGCCAAGGACTTGGCCGACATGGTATTCGCCCAAAAGGAAAAGCTCCGGGCAAAGGAACCCGTCAAAGTTGGCAGAGCATGAAAAAGAGAATAGTGATTCTCTGCGCTTGCCCTGCTCTAGCTTTTGAATTTTAAAAACACAAGATATTAGATTGCGTGGTATCACTTAGTCTTGCTGTCTGCTAGCCACCGTAGCCAGTTAGGCAACGGTTCATGACAAAAAATACCCCATGTGTCCACAATGCAATGGTTTTCTCACATGGTTTCCGAGCCATGCAAATATGGAATGCTAAAGGAACACCACCAAGACCCACCACTAGCCTAACACCATGCTTTGTTATCTGTGGCATCTGTCACAGATACAATAGGACAGGTGCATGCATGATAGGAATCTTTTATGACTCGTATGACTCTATGTTTTGAGCGTGATGTTATGACTTTAGCGGGGGCGCCCGCCTTATTGGTGCACCATCTTGGCAGCAGATGTTGCAAGCTCCTTTAGTTGGGTGTTTGCGCTCCCCTATACTGAATGCTCATTTTTGAGCTCTTTTTGAAGCTGCTATGTTGTTGGCCTGTCCCCTGGTGGTACAATTTCCCCTCTGGACAATTCAAATCGGTCCATTGCCATTCCTTCTTGATGAGACAGGGAAGCCGTGAGTATTCGTCGGACATTCTTTAGCGATGCCGGGACGTAGCTTTGTTTGTTGTTGTTGTTGTCAATGTTTCCCTTGTCTGCCTTTTTGGAATTCTTATCTTTGGTGAATACTGCTTTGTCATCTGCTGCACGTTTCAAAGCATTCAGCAATACTTCTACCAGCTTTTGTCGTCCTTGTTGCATTGTGAGCGGCTCGGTTGATTGCGAAATGTCCTTTAAATCATTCCATAGCTGATTGTCCTTTTGGAATTTGTCTCCTCCATTAATAACTCCAAAATTACCCCCCAAACATTCTACAGCTCCAGAAGGATCTATCCGATAAAAGCAGTGTGGCAACATGGTGGCGGTGCTGTCTTCTTGATTGGCAATGTTTTGTGCCGGTTCTTGGTACGCCACAATCATCGTAGCACCAAATGGCCGCGCGGCAATCTTCATGGTATGCTCTTGATAAAGCAAGGAAACTTCTTCCAAAAAGATATCAATGGGAATTTCTTCATCATAGACGTATTCGTGTTGTATTGCCAATTCTTGGGCTGCTGCACACAGGACTCTCCCATCGGCAGATACTCCCGAATGGGCCACCATGAGATTGGGTGTCACTCGCAGGAATCGTGCCGTTCCATCATCCAGAACAAACATGGAGGGCAAAACCTGAGGAGATGCCATGAGGAGAACTCCTTCTTGAGGTCGACACAGAACCAACACTGGTGTCCCTAGGGCGGCTGCTTCCATGGCATAATCCACTTGTTGAAGTCGTCCTTGGGGGTTGAAAGTGGATAGGGAGTAGGCGTGTCGTTCATCGATTCGAATGTACCCGCCTGCACTCTGACCTTGAATTTGGGTAGAAAGGTAACAAAACAGCACAACAACAAGAAGCCGCCAAGATACTGTTGATACCATCATCTTTGTTATGGTGGACATCTAATCTCAGTTGTACAAATGATGTGTTGGGGTTTGGTTGGGTTGTGGTGATCGGCAGGGCCAAGGATGATCGACCAAGGAAGGGTCGTCTTCCACGTGGAACCTCCCACCTGCCCCGAAGGTCCACCGCGCAGATGCAAAACTACACCTCTGCCCAGATCGCGACCTAAAGTAGAAAGCTGAAGTAACGAATACATGTAGCCAACCCAATACCCTCAGTATCAGTTAGAAGCAACAGGATGACCTTGCAAACCCGGAGCCTTCTTTGGTTGGGCAAGAGAGGCTCATGGTCCATACCCCACCCTCTGGTGGACCTACCGATACGAGACAGTCTCCTTGGCCCATTCCTGAACTAGTCTCTACCAGTGGTCCACACCAGGACCTACGCCTGTACCAGCTCGTGATTTACTTCTGTCAACTCGTTCACTACCTCATGACCCTCGCTCGTTCAAAATTTGACGACTCTAGCTAACACTACAAGGCAGTAAAGATGTGGTGACTCCCTACCGATATCTTTTTTCATACTGCTATGACAGGCCGTCGCTGTTGTTGGTTTTTATTTGTGGAAACAGTATTCATGCAGCCAAGTGGGAACATGGTTAGCACCCCCCAAATCTTTCGTGACAGTGTCTAGAAATTGTTTGCGATGCTCTTCATCAAAGAGGCTATCGTGATCCCCCACGGAACCTTTTCGAATAAAGTTGTATCCTGGTTTCCATCGCACGGATATTGGGTGGAACAGTCCTTGGTGTTCTCTCATCCATTCAAAGCTGGTTCGTTCGAGCACTCGATCCATAAAGGCTTGGTTGTTTGCGTCAATGTCAACTTGGAGAAATTTGGCAATGCGTACAATCTCTTGTTTGCGATCTTGTTTGAGATCTTCGTATCGCACCAAGAGTATTTGAGGATTGGCATTCGCATTCGCAGCAGTCGAGCAATGTGGCATCCAGGAAGCCAAGTGATGACTCCATTTTCCGTAGGCAATGGTTCCGTCCAGAAATTGTTGAAAAAAGGCTTCAAAATCTCCTTGGAATCCTCCATCGTCGGGATGTTGATTGCTCATGTGATGATAAAAAGAAGTGAGAGTATCTCGACCGTCTCGAACGACATAAATATACCTTGTTCCAGGTCCCTTGGGCAACATACCCCATCGTAGGTGAGTGTTAAAGATGCGGTAGCCCAAAGCCTTGTGCGCGTCTCGAATTTTGGAAATCATTTGTGGTGGACCGTCTGATGATGATGATTCCCAATGAGCATCAATCTCGAAAAAGGGTGCGTATTGGGAAATGTGATCCAAGGGCAAATTATCATCCTGGTGGACCGACGCCGACACGAGCTGAAAGACAATGTTTTGCATCCAGGTCGTTCCTGATTTTGGAAATGATGCAATGAAAATATCCTTGTCTCCCACTGGAAGCTCGCGGCATTTTCGCAGGGTCTCTTGGGAAGTGATGGGAAGAGTGGGGAGGGGAGGGAGGTCGTCGTCCATCGTCGCCATTGCCATTGCCAAATACATGCAGGTCAATTGATCGGCAAGTGCTTGACGATCTTACATATATTTACCTGTTTTGGATCTTTGTCCGAATACGGTAGTGCAAAGGATCTTGTGTAAATAGTTTAGGTATTTCAATTTGCTTTGAAAACCAAATGGCGAGGGCAAGGAATATGGAGTGCTTGAAGTTCTGTTTGACCACCCCTTTTCAAAAGGGGGGGGCGCCTGCAGATTCGATTCGCCCCTGGATTTGTATTGCACCAAAATCTGCCCGCAGCACAGGCAAATACAGCTTGAAGAGAAGTCTTTCCTCCCTTCGCCCAAAAAGACACACCCTCGCTTCGTCCACTTACTTCCCTCTACCACCACCAAACTCAACACCAACCCAGGCAGACCGAACTAGCTAGCTAGTAATAGATAGAAAGCCATGTCTGGAGACGACCCCTTTGACAATTACGACCACGAGACGGAGGTCACTGTTGGCTTTTCCGATGGTACCCTTCTAGCAATCTCTGTGTTTGGGTTTGCCGTCATGGCCTTTGTTGTCTTTTCCATTATCATTTCTCGCGTCAAATCGGCGGACGAATTGGAAAAGGGCGAAGCGGATACCGACTTGAATTACGAAGAAGAGCTGCTGCGTGCCGATGTCGCTTCTCTCAATCGAGCGCAGAGACGTGCTCGAGCCAAGGCACTCATGAAACGTGAACGCCGTGTCGTCGGTGACGAACAGCAGCTTCCGCAGCATGACGACGAACACCATAACGAGGACGACAGTAACGAGCCTCATCTGTCTCGCAAGGATCGACAAAAGGCGGCCAAAGTAGCGGAAAGGAAGGAACGTCATGTAAACGAAGAACAGAGACGAGAAGAACAAAAACAAGCCATGCTGGTGGCCAAGGAAGAAAAGAAAAAGAGACTTGAATTGGAAGCTGAGAGAGCCAAAGAACAAAAGATAAGGAGGGAAGAGGAATTAGAACAGAAAAAGAAGGAAGAATTCGACAACTGGAACACATTCCTCGTATCGCGTGATCGAACTGTCTCGCTGTCCGTTCATGACTGGGTGCAAGAGCTGCAATTCCAAAATGCTGTCGTGGTGCCGCTGCGGAACATAACCAGACGATTCGATTGTTCCATGGAGCAAGTTAAAGAGAGGATCTGTCAATTGGTCGATGAGGGAAGAATCAATGGAGTCGTCGATGGAGAAATGTTCTATGTACTATCCCACAGACACTTGCTTTCCTTGGCATCCTTTGTCGCAGCCAATCGAGAAGTATCCTTACGAGATGTCTCCCACGAAACCAAAAGGATCCTAGAGACCGCTTGATCGATCGATCGTGACCTTATACCACAATCTCCAGCGGACTTGACTCATTATTATTATTACTCAATTATTGAATAACTGACGGACCGACTGAATCGACTCGACTCTTTGATAGATATCACCTTGCATCTTAGAACCTTAAAAGCAGCGTTGCATCCTATAAAATACTGGTTGACAACCCCAAAAGGTGCCTATTTGTTTCGGATAACGAAACCGGCATCAGCTCGGCACATACTTTGCGTGCCGCAGCCATAGTCAGTAGAGGAATCCTTCCCTGGAGTGCGGTACCAGTGTCTCTTCGTTTCTCCGTAGGTACGTACTGAAGTCATGCTCAACGGATTTCCCTAGTCCCATCACAGCATCCTTTCGTCGCCTTAGCACTGGCACCTGCCCATGTAGTTAGTTATCTAGACCTTTTATCACTCAGCTGCTACCACTAATCTTTTGTTTGCATTTGAGGAATCAGCTCTATTACTGGAACCAGGAGAACAGGGTGTGACGCGCAGGACGGATAGCAGAACCATTGATGCTTTCGATTTTCAGGTTTGTCGGGGGGATGATGTCACTACTCGATACGAGGTTCGTCGAGACCAATTGGAACTGCTGGCCTAGACTACTGATGGCACTCGGTTCAGATTTATGTCAAAATTTGCCTTTTAGGAATGTATTCTACTAGTACTCACAGCAGACTCAGTGCTGTCATTACTACGATCCAGCAGTGGTTCTCGCAGTGATTGGGTGTCATCCTGGTCCATGTCGTCTTCGCCTCCACAAATCTCCGTTCCCACCCTCATGTCAACGACTTCCGGCAGCGCTCGATTGCCTACATCTTCCTCGTCTCCCCCCTTGGGAAGAAATGTCACCATGATAGTCCCCATTGCATATATCCCAGAGGCACACACAAACATACTGCCAGGACCAAACAAACTGTGTCCATTCTTGGAATGGTCATAGACAAACTCTAAAATCATTGGCCCTACGGCATTGGCCAGTGCATTGAGTGCAAACAATGCCCCTTGTACACGACCCTGCTCATTGACCGAGGCTGATTTGGAGGCGTAGGCCGATAAAAGTGGAAAGCTGACCTTGGTCAATTGTGACAGACAGAGGGCCACGAGGATTGTGTTTTTCGTCTTTGCCAATCCGTACAATAAGTTGTGGCATGTCCCAGAGACGAAGGCAATGACCATGAGGTTCTTTTCACCGAACAAGTTCAGCATGGGTTGCAGGAAGAATGCTTGAATTACCACACCCAATGGACAAAAGATGAGAAACATCTTGGCAATATCATCATCCCTCACATTCAGTTGGTCTTCAATGTAGTACACAATAAGGGTCTTATCCGAGGAGTACACCATGGCACTGAAGAAGGATGCAGCCGCTAAGATTGGTAAATTGCCTGTTGTCAAAATCTCCATGTCTCGCAGAGGCTTTGTGGCTGTTTGGATGATGACAACAATCCAATGCGTATTATCAGGTGATTGCGGATAATCCTCACTGTTGTAGAGAAAGGGTTCGCTCCCTTCTTCGTCGGAATAACTGCTGCCACTGGTACTCCAACGAAGCTGGTTCCCGCGTTGTTGGCGTTGCTGTTGTCGTTCCAAGGATTGACGGTTTTCCTCGGCGACATCTTGTGGAAGCGTTTCGGGCAATGCCACGAAAGCCAACACGATTGCCAAAAGGAAGAATACAACCGAAAGCACAGACACTTGGAAATGATTCATCAACAACGGCAGTTGTGGCGCCAGAGAAAATCCAGCATAAAAGCCAGACAAAAGGATGCCATAACCAGCGGCTCGAATTTCTGGCGACAACACATCGGAGGCTGCTGCAAAACTCATGGACGTAAAATCCACTGCTCCCGCCAGGCTGACCGCGAAATAGTAGGCATTGGGACTCAACCACGGCAAAAGTTGCAGAAAGACAAGAGCAACGGTTCCTAAAGAATACAGCACCACGCTGATGATAATGACTCCTCTTCGTCCCTGACGATCACTGTAGGTTCCAACGACAGGGTTGAATATTAGCGTCAATAGATTCAGCACCAAGGTGGCAACTGCTGCGGCATACTGAGCATCATCTGCTCCATCTTGACAAGCATCTGGCTTTTCTTGGCGATTAAAGGTAGCGCAATCAGGACCACTGTAATGGTGGCGAGTTCGTGCGTATCGATCTGCTATCACATCGGGAACAACCCCTACCACACTGCCAATACCAAAGGCTACAAGAAGTGTAACAATCAATATTGGAACGGTCCCTGTGGCCCGGCAGAAAGTTCTCAAAAATTCAAAGCAACTTTGCAATGACGTGGGTGGGTCGTCTCGATCCTCATTGTTAGCCTCGGAAGCAGCCATGGATATTGGAGGATTGAGACTATCAGTTATCTCCTCAGTCTCGCCATTGTTGATGGTAGAGGCCGCCATCTTCTTTACCAGAACAACTTTCTCAGGCTCATCGTCTTTCTCGCTTTGACTGCTTCTGAAGATGAAGGTGGCATCACTTCGTCCATCCGGCAAAATTCCGAGCTGGTCCCAAAGAACTATGTTAGGGTTAAGACTTGTTTTTAAGCTAGCGGGGAAGCCTGAAGGACAACCCAGAGCTAAGAGCGAAGTAGTAAATGTACCAATGTACCGCACGGTCTGTAGCCGCAATGGGAGAGAGCGACTAGTAGGGTGACGTTCCTTGGCTCATTGCAAATGCTCTGCATTGTGCATGCCTCTTTCAAGGACTGGGACTTGGAAGAAGCATCAAGATTTTCAAGCATGTCCAAGTCCCTGGATCTGAAGGCCATCCAGGTTGGTGGAGATTGTATTAGGTACAGGTGAAGACTTGACCCAGAGCCTGCAATCCAACTCCAAGCATCGGCTCTGGGAGGACGGTGGGGCCCGAGTTATTACTGAGACAGAGTTTGCAACATGGACCTATACATTACATGATGAGAATACAGCCTTGGAATTTGAAACCACGACTTCGACGAGGATGAGCTTGGGGGTGCTCGTCGAATAGACAGTTTTCCAAGAAGCTCTTATTGTCACTACTGGCTAGTAGTTAGCTAGTTAGCTAGCGACCACAGCCAGTACCAGTACCATGAGCACTTTGATGAAAGGTCTCTTGGAGCCTGGACGCTTTCGTTTACGTTCAGCATCCCGACCGGTCGACCGTCGACCGACCCAACACGTTCGGGAATTAGGGTTAATATTAATCATATCTGACGTGGCTAATTCAAAACCAGACTTCAAAACCAGATGTCACTGCGACATTTTCATCCAATCATTTGAACCCAGTCATCCTTTTAGCACACAGAACAAGTCCATCAGTGCAATTTGGACTTTTCACCTGGGCTCCCTCTTCGGTGTCACAGTCCAAAGAGCATTGCGAAAGAGCTCCCACCGTCAAATACTTCCAAGCTGGGGTATTTGTGTGACTGTGCAAGCTAAAAGATCACAAGAACGCCACGTCATTGTCCAAAAGCCTTCAGCGTACAAGTAGCGTTGCCTCCTGTGTCCAAGTGGGGAGAGCAATTGAGCCGAGGCAAAACCACAACAACAACACCTTTTGTTCAAACGAAAGTGAGTCAAAGACAAGCCGGGCAAGAGAAGCAGGTTTTGAAGAGAGCGTCGGTATCATCGAAAGGAGATCGCAGCATTCAGTAGTCTATTTCGCGTCCCAATTTTCTTGTTTATTCCATTGGTGAGTGGGCTTCTTGGGACCATGGTGTTGTTGTTTTTCCTTTTGCTTTGACCACGTCGCTCTTGCGATTTCTCGTGCTAAAACGTGGTCAAATTGCCCTATTTGCTGCCGTGTCGCTGCGACAAATTCCATAATCCTCTAATTCTCTAAAGCACGTATCGGCGTCTTGTTGTTGCCTCATTCTTCTTCAACCAGCCAAGGCCATGACCGCCACTGCAGCAACAGCAACGGCAGAGCTCAGTAAGCAAGCAACTGAAGGGGCCTCTCTCTCAATGAAATTGATCAAGTCGTTGAATAGCAAAGGAACCACCACCGGTAGCAGTGAGGGAGGGAGCAGCACCTCGAATGCGGGAGGAAACAACTCCGACAATTCTGCCCTCGTGAGCATTGGGGGCGCGTCGTTTGGATTCAACTTTGACAGCGAGGAGGGTAATTCGCCTCCTCCAAGCGACAACGACGCTGGGAACTCAAATGCCGGTCCAAAGGAGAAGGCTGGAAATAATGGTCAGGAGGCGGCACAAGTGAAAGTGGACGACCCTTCCCCGGTTGTCCCCTCTACAGAACAGCAAACTGGAGTTGCGGAAAGTGCCACGCAAATGCCTCAGCAGCAGCAGGCTTCAAACAGCGATCCAAACTCCAGTGCATCCTTGACTCTGGGTTCTGGTGCGGCGTCTTCACTGCCGGAATCTCAAGTTGCGACAACCAATGATCAGGTCGCGACGAACACTTCCGAAGTTTCAATTCCGGCTGCTGCTCCAGTTTCGATACCCGCTGCTGCTCCCGTAGCGGCAGCCTCTGCTCCAGTAGCAATTGCTGTGGCTCCTGTTTCCTCTGCTCACAGCGTAGCAGCCGATGCTGCGGTGGCAAGCTTGCATTCCATTGCCAGTTCGTACATTCCCCAATATCTCACTAAAGATGGAGACCAAAAGCTGGCTTCTACCGAGGGAGGAGTGAAGGAAGAAACCAACGGGGGATATCATGCGGATTATGAAGGAGCTAATGGTTGCGGCAGCGGCGAGCATCCGGACCAGGAACAGGCGCAGCAAGGAACCGGAAACAACAACGACGACGATGAAGATGATGGAAGGCCGAAGAAAAAGAAGAGACTCAACGATAAGAAACGCGAAGAACGCAACGCAAGGGAGAAGGAGCGTAGTTTTCGAATCTCCAAGCAGATCAATGAGCTGCGTAGCCTGCTTTCCAGCGGTGGTGTCATCGTCCCCAAAGGAACAAAAAGCTCCGTACTCACTGAAGCAGCGAATTACATCCGAATGCTGCAGCAACACCAATACAGATCCGAAATGTACGTTTGCATCATTCATGCATCTCCAATACACGGAAAAAGGCTGGTGTGGTTCAAAACGAAGGCCAAGCTAACGCAGTTTTTGTTCATTTTTCATTTGCAGCGACCGTCACCAACTTGTACAGCAAATTCAAATGATCGGAGGCGGAGCACATGGTCCACAAGCTGCACAGGCAATCCGCCATGTGGCTGCCAAGAACGGTGTATGGTCTCTTGGTAACTTTGGTGGTGTTCCTCCCAAATCTGCCATGGGATACTATCAGCCTGGAAGCAATGGTGAACCAAATGAAATTCAAAGTGCTTTGCCGGTAGACCCCATCCAGCAGACGAAGATCGAGGAGCACGAGTACCATTCCGTTTTCAACAACTGCGCGGTGGGAATGGTAAGAGCGATGGTTGCCTGAGGGTGTGCTTCCTTCGAGGCGAAGATCTCTGGCCCGTTTAACCATCTTTTCCCCCTTTTGACACACCACTGTTCAGGCGATTGCTTCTATGGGTGGGGCGTTTATTGATTGCAACCACCTCTTTTGCCAACTTTCCAACTACTCCAAGCAAGAAGTCTGTGCCCTGACAATCTTCAACATGACAGCTCGACAAGATCTGCAGCATGCTTTCGATCTGATTAGTCAGCTGATCTCTCCGCCGATGGATGCTCCTCAAAATGCTACTCCACAGCCTCTTGTTTTGCGGGGAGCGATGAACAATCGCAATGATCTGGGACTTGGAGTTGCTCTCGTCAAAGGCGAGGACGGCATTGCAAAGTTCTTCTGTGTTACACTTATCAAAAACCCTGCGTCTCCATTCGACGAATCCAAGCCAATTCCCGCTACCATCGAATTGATCCAAGGAACACCAGCAGCGGTGACGAGACAGATGACCAAGGACTCGGCAGGCCTCGACTCTGCGCCTGCTTTCACCACTGGATAGTTTTCAAACTATCTACCAGAAAATGACACCTTCATTATCTAATGCACCCATTTGATCATTTTGTGTCGGCGCTTTGGCCTTGGACCTGTTTTCCCTCGGTGACCTCAAAATGACGCGTTGCCTCAACCAAACACGAAACCCATGTTGCCAGCCAAACAAAGCATCCTCTACTTTTCACACACTCGCTCGTCAAGCTCTACCACAAGCACGAACAGAGGCTCCTGCGACTTTCCATTCAAAGCATGCCCGATGGTGGCGCTACATGATCACAAGTGGGCCGATGTAGCCGGCCAGAAGCTAGCTAGATGTGACCACTATCAGCTTTTAAAAGACACTTTGGAGCTCATGTTCTGCACCAAAGGACTAATCTAGGAGCCAGTGTGATTTCCTCAATTCGTCTGCTTTTTGGCTGACCGGGTCAGCGCTGATTAAGAATTCTCTGTCCTTTCAAGACGCCGGTCTATCCACACAGGAAGGCTTTCCCTTCTCACTACACTTAATAGCTAGCCACCATCTCTCTATTCTATTGCATCCCACATCTGCAACTGGAAGGCTCGTGGGATCAATGAAGGGTCGTGGGAAATACTCAGATAGCCAGTAAATGTGCATGCGCTAGAGGAGTGCTCCAGGTTGCCTGATCCGTGCATCTTTGGATTTGGTGATCGGAGAACTCTCGGCACGTGGGTGTCAACCGTTGGAATCACACACTGTGCACTCGGCCAGAAGAAAAGAAATCTGGTGATCGTTGTACCGGCACCGGTAGGTAACGACAGGTTGGCTGCAGATAGAAGGCTCCTTCTAAAGGAGGACAGGGTAAAAGCAATAGAGAGGCACCAGTCAGCTGGGATCTGCTCCCAGTCTCTACGATTCATACAATCATCAATAACCCTTTCTTTGTGCCTTTTCTCCTCTACGACTTTCTGGCAATGGTACCTTGAATGAAGAATTACCATCCATTTGTTGTCTCTCTTGATGGTATGCTTGCTACCTCAGACTTGCCACTGTCACTGTCGCCAAGACTCAATGCGCCTAATCCCAGGATATGATGCTCTATACCGGTATCCATATTCGGCTCTCCATTGCCATACTTAGTTAGTTAAAGCCACTCTCTTGTGCCACCTTGGATCACAAAACCACATCAAAGTACAATGGCCTCTGGCCTGGTCCCCAGTTTGTGTCCTTGATCCCATCAAAACCCCTTTCCCATATTCTCCTTCTCTTCTCATTCTAAGCTTGGTCACTGCTTGATTTTGTAAAACAAATGAAAACTAGAGTACTCTAGCTAGCTACGGGTACAGAAGCTACGGTGCATAGCTTCCGGTTAGTTGGCCATCTTCTCTGGAGAAGGAATTCGCATTTGTGTTTCTTCCAATCAAGGTCAAAGTATTGTTGGCTACCACGCGTGAACACGATCCCAAGAGAGCTCAACGATTTGGATACCCCTTCCAAATTCGAAACGGCAAAGAAGTGCTCTCACAACAAGCAGCGTTGGAAGTGCTTCCGTGCTTTCTCAGGGTCTGTTGTTGTTGAGATAGTGACTTGCTCTAGCTGCGTAGCTAGCTAGAACCTGACGAAGGAAAATGGCGGGAGGGAGTTCCCAGGCAGCGCCTTCGCCTGCTTATATTGTCTATGTACCGGTCCGATTTTTGGTAGTGACATTGGTTGGGTCTGTCTTTTTGGCCTTTGCCGTTGGCCAAGCCGCTCGTTTGTTTGTAACGGGAGGCTACGAGCAAATACCCTTTGTGGAAGTGGAAGAAGAGAAGGGCATTCTTCCGCATCCTGTGATGCAAAATGGCAAGAAGGTCCCTCGCACCGTTTATACTTCCAAACATTATGATACTGGCAAGAGTGTGACCAGTGATTCTCTGCTGGCAAGACAAGAGCTACAATCTGCAAACAAGGAGTGGGTTGAATGCATTGATTCGGAGGGAGGGGGCAAAATTTGTCACAACGAGGAACATCCAAGTGATCCTTCTATTGAGCAAAACGAAGAAGAGGAAGAGAGTGAACATGAACCTGCTGGACAGCATTTGTTGGTGGACATTGAAAATCTGGAAGGCGCCTTCTTAAATTCCAAAGAACGTCTTGCTAGGGCCATGATGGATTTGGTGGACTTGAGTGGCCTGACTATGCTCTCCTATCATTGTCATGAACTGGAGCCAGCCGGTGTCAGTTGTGCAGGGGTGTTGCTGGAAAGTCATGTCTCCTTTCATACATGGCCGGCTGAGGGTGTTATCACTTTGGATCTGTTTACCTGTGGCCCTGCTTCGTTGGTGCCCTACATACCGGTTGTTCAAAGACTGTTTAGCATTGGCAAATCTCCAACCTTTGAAGGAGAAGAGGTGGAACCTCCCCACATGCTCTGGTCATACAAGCGACGTGGTTTCCGCAATGAAGAAGTCTACGATGCTGCTGGAGGTGACATGTACAACTACTTGCTCGGAGTTATGGAATTTGAAAACAAAACACAGGCAAGGATTCTTGGCTACCGGATCGAATTATTGTCTTAGTTGCATTCTCACATCAACCTCTTGTTGCCGAACAGATTGCTGCCGTGAAGACAGACTTTCAGGATGTCGAGATATTCGATTTAATCCACCCACGCTTCAGAACAGTTGAGCAATACCAAAAGTCAATCTCTAACGATGGATCTTACGAATCCAAGCACCCAGAATTGTTTTTGCCGGACAGAATTGTCTATCTGGATGGTGTCATGCAGTCCAGAAGATATGGAGAAGCTGCGTACCACGAATCCTTAGTTCACCCTGCCATGTTTGCGAACCCCAATCCAGAGTACGTTGCTATTATTGGAGGCGGAGAAGGAGCCACGCTCCGAGAAGTTTTAAAGCATGATACTTTGAAGCAGGTCATCATGATCGAAATCGACAAGGGCATGGTAGACATGTCCAAGAAATACCTTCCAGATTGGAACTACTGTGGAAATATTGCTGGCAGCACTGAATCTTGCTTTGATGATCCTCGTGCGACAGTGTATTATCAAGATGCCATCCAATGGTTCATTGATCACTATTCCCCTGGAAAGGAGAGTGGCAAAGAACCAAAGTTGGATGTCATTATCATGGATGCTCTGTAAGTCAACACCCTCAATTTTTGATGTTGAACATTTTTTTGATGCTTCCGACCGCCTGACAGCTGCTTTGCGCTGCATTTTAGTGATCCTGGTAACAATGTCGACTTTTCAGATCTACTTTTCGACAATGAGGCTTTTGCCAAGGCCTTGCACAACTCGTTGAATGACGGTGGAGTCTTCATCGCACAGACTGGCGAGGCTGCCAACTTGGAAGATCCCTCCAAAATGAACAGCCGCGAAAGGTATGAGTTCATCTTTAAAACTCGGCTTGCAGAAGCTGGATTCCAAACAATGAAGGAATACGAAGATGTAAGTGTTTCTTGTTTTTTCCGTCACCACAGTCCTTTCCTTTTGGCATTCTCACGCGCCGACCGTTTCTGATTATTGTTTCTAATAACGACAGGCTCATGGTGGATTCAATGGCGTTTGGAGCTTCTTCGCTGCATTCGTCAATTCCAGTACAAAGAGTCGCTGGCACGCAAATGAAGCTGAAATAAACTTGGCCATAAGGAAGAGAATGCGAAGTACGACAGCAGGGAAATCTCCCCTGGTGTACTTTGATGGCGCAACTATGCAATCCTATCAATACCCATCCAAAGCGGCTGAAGTCGTTTTCTGCCGAACTGTGCCTGACGCTTTTGGCTGCAATCGTACTCACGGGATAGATCCTCGAATTTATGACGTCCCAACCTCTGATCTGGAAGTCAAAGCAAGCCTCGTGGACAGTGCCAAGCACGGCGTCTTTGCTAAGGTTGATATTGTCGAAGGTAGCTACTTGGCGATCAAGGAACAAACGAGAGACATCTTCATTCCACCGAGTACATACGAGCTAATCTACAACTTCACCCAACATCCTGCGGGATACCAGCACTCCTTTTTCACGTCATTTCTGAAAGGCTACGGATGTGGACACCACTACTTTGTAAGAAGCCCGTGTTGGTTGCACTTGTTCTTTTTTGGCACTGTCTGACAACATTTTCTCTTTGCCCCTTCGTACCCCCCCCCCCCCCTTTTTGTTGTTGTTAGGGAGGAGTGGGTCGGTCTGTCGACCCAGGTCTTTTGGCATTCACGAATCATGGTTGTAATTCGAACTACAACCTTGGCCCAATGCAAGACGTGAACGAAATGAATGCGGACGAGAACAGCCTACCAGAGCGGTCTCCTCTGGATTGGGAGACGGCCGTAAACAATCCCTTCATTGATCGCAACGTGCGCGTTTTGATGCATTCTTTAGGCTATGCTAACCGTGATATCCCTGCGGGAACAGAAATCCAGGACAACTTATTGAACTATGCCGGCACCCTCGAGCAGTGGAAAAACACTGTTCTGGATCTGAGAGCCCAATGCAGCACAGAGGAAGAAGTTGTTGTATCTGAGTAGCGTCGATGTTTTATGTGCTTTGAACCTTGATAGACCCAGTAATGACTATGAAACAGTATATGATCAACTCAACGAGCACAGGGCTTAGTTTGTCCTCTGCCTATTTCAGGTCCTACCAGAGTACCAGTAGCCTTCGTGGAACGAGATGACAACTATTTTTACGTTGTGACGGCGAAAGGCACCTTTGCAAGCAAGATCTTGGGTTCTTTTGCGTTCAAAGCATCAAATGTTCTGCCACAGGCAGGAGGCATTGGTCGTTTCGTTCGCTTCAAGTGTGCTGTGGACAGTTCATGGAGTCGAGCCAAGTCAGAGTCGAGTCTACCAGAAGCTGGTTCTCGCAACTTGGAGATCGGCAGTGACCAGGGTGAGAGCGGCTAGCCGATGACATGCAGTTGAAGCAGCTTTGCGGGATTATTTTAAAGGATGCAGCCAGATGACGACACTCCTTGTCGGCATCTCCTCCAAACATTCACAATTGGTATCGACCATGAGCACTCGATCCGCTGCTCTGCTAGTCCGCAGAGGCTTATCTGCAAGGAAGAACAGAGTGCTCCTTGGATCCACTACTGCAAGGGCTTTTGGTGAGTGAGTGTGAAGTCGATTCCTGCTGAATGGGTTCCAATACGAAAATTGGTATCTTAAATAGGATATCGGATGGCAGTCGTTGCTAACTACTGAATCATCTGTTCTCTCTGCTTATTAGCATCATCTGAGGGACTGCCTGATAGTATCAAACGTGTAGGACAAGCTTCAGCATTCCCAAATGAGTACCCGGGGCAGGTCTATGCTTTCAACTGGTGCCTCAACAAAGATGGCGTGACACCGCTTCAACGATCGGCTTTTCGCATCACAAAGCCCCTGGACTTGAGAGTTGCTGGCTTGACTCCTCCCAGTTCAATGCCTCTTAAGGTGGGTTGAAAATCGATGGATTGTTGGCGAGTGGTGTTGGGAGCTGTGGTTCCTGACATTCAATTTTTTTGGTTTGTCGGATACAATTTCCTTTCCTTTTTTCAGATCAAGGCGGCTGCCGCATCAAAAATGCCCGAAGCCGGCTCTGAAAGTTTGGAATTTTCAGCATTTGATGCTAGCTCTGAACAAACAAGAGATTTGTTGTCTTTATCGGACCACCTTTACTGCCCAGAGGGCCATGTACCAGGAACCAGGACAAGTGTTCGTATTATCACCAACTCTTCGACGCTGGCACCCAACCTGTTGGCGTATCTTGAACGTGCTCCTCGAAAAGATCCTCCAGAGAGTCTTCCCATCACTGTGTATGCATTGGAAGGATCCGGTTATGAATTTGCTGGGTATGCAATTGAGGAGGTCGAAGTCCCAATAATCGATGAGGATGATGGTAAGGATTGGTCCACTGGAGATGGTGACGTTACAAACGAGGCCAAGTCAGTTGCAGCTGTGGTTGTTGCTGGATCTGCACCAGATATTTCTCTGGTGGTTGCAGGTATTGAATTGAGCCAGAAAGCTCTTGCCGAAGATGAAGAGGCTCGTGCTGCAGAAAAGGCCGAGAAGCAAGCTTAGAGATCTTTGTCATGTTGGGTAGATAATTTCATATTCCCCCACGAGTACAGGTAGGTGATGGCCATCTGAGTTTTAGGATGTGATGTCGTAAAGGCTATGCAATTTAGAATATAGTTGCAGGGCAGTGACAGCCAGCTTTTATAGTGGTACCAGTACCTTACTTAGGCTAGTATCGGTGCGGCAGGTGGGCTCGTGCACCCAACAAAATTGAATGATTCCAACTGCGACAAGGACTATTGGATTCAACTTCGGTTCGCATGTAGGGGATTATTAATCAAATCTTGCTAGCGATGGGCCTCAATGAAGAGAAGCCTATCCTCAAACTGAATGATACCTTTTGAATCTACCCGCTTGGCTTCTGCTTCCGCAATTAATTTGCAAGCAGCATCCAACTCAGCGTCTGAGAAGTTTGCAAATGTGCTCCAAAACCGCTGCTTGACCATTGATTGCCATCGCGCCAGGGAAATCTCACAAGGATAAGGCTCTACCTTGTATTGCACCTTTCTGAATCCTGCAGCTGTCAAATCATTCATGATGTCGTCAACATGTGGTTGATTTTTGGCCCAAACATCTCTAGCATCGTTCCATAGAGGGTAGTCGATGTCTCGTTGAGGCCTCGTGATAATTAGCAGAGATGGAATGTTTGGTTGCTCTGATATGTTGTCTGTGACAAGACCATTAAGCATCCCACGAAAGATTTCTTTGCGGTCTGTATGAGCGAAATGGTGGACAACTTCCTTCAAGAGGACCTGACTATATCCATTGCGCCACCACTCCTGCGACGCTTCAAAATTGTCCTTCGTGAATTCTTCAGCTGATGCCTTGACATATTGTACATCGTCACTGCCTTCTTTGGTTGAGGATTCCGGTAAGAAAGGGTCCACGACAATGGCACGAATACCCTCTGATTGATTTGTCAGCATGCGAGTGAAATTTCCAGTGCCACCACCAATATCCAGCAATGTTCGTGGTTTGGATCCTTCCTTAAGACATAGTCCATCCATTACAAGCTTGGCAAGATTTTCTGTGTAGGCTCCTTCTTCATAGAAAAAAGCACTCTCGTAGGAAGCGGCAGTGTGAGCTTCATAGTGTGATTTTGAAGTCATCTTGCGTTTCAATTGGCTCTCGATGGTTTGCAATGGCCTTCGATTGTCAGCATTCAATATCCCTTCGAAGAAAGAAGGGCTGCGAGTTTGATGATATCGTCGAATCGCTTTCCCTAACGACCGCATCTCATCTGTTGCTTGTGCTCTTGTGCTCCCAATACAAAGTGTCTCTGTCACAGGATCGGACCATGGAAGGCTCGGCAGGAAGACAGGTTTGGAAGGGTAGTTGCGGTAAAGCTAGGGTTAACGTTTTGTTTTACTCTCAATTTTTAGTTTGTTTTACCGCAACTACCTCAGCTGCAAAGCTTGTCTTCCAGTAGGCAGCTTTTCAATTCAGGTAGATGCGGTAAAATACTATATTAAGTTTGCCTGAACTACTAGTACGGTACAGTACCTGTACCTTTCTAAAGCTCTTTTGCCATCTCTGGATACCCCTACCGGTACGGTACCGGTTCCGGCAGGTACTGTCTGTATTTGTAGGTACAACTGAGAGGGCAGCATGCCATTGAGTTGGTTGCGGAGAAAGGGAGCTCACCAAGCCAATCTCCAACGGGATCCTGGAGGTGTCAGATCTGAAAGCAATTGGAAGGTTTCCTCCAGAGTTGTGGTTCTCAACAATCCGATTGGAGCCCGTTGCAGGGCATTCCTCCGCTCCCATCACACGACATTGCGTCCACGAATTCACCACAAAACAAAAAATATTAAACCGGTGTGCATCAACTCAGGAAACCTCCATGTTCCTGCTTCTTCTCTTCAGGCCATCAGACTTCGTTGCTCTACATGTACTTCAGCGAAGTGATCGCCCTCGACAAAGGGTAGCAAAGTTAATAGTTATATCCGCGACTAGATCAATTGAATGTAACCTTTCCGATGCGGTAAAGGCTGTTTGCCTTCAATACGGTTTCAAGAGCTGCCAACCGATGACGCAGCGGCCTGTTGGAGGCTGGGTTCTCCGTTCTCCAAGTGACGAGTCGCAAAACGAGAAGCAATGTGGGATTGAGTTGCTTTTTCGCTTTTTCAAAGGTAATGAAAGAAAGGATTCTATTTGGCGATACTTTCAGCGAATTTTGTGGGAGCTGTGGATCTGAACTTGCAGCGAAGATCCTGTTTCAAAGGGCTGGACCATGGGAGGGAGGCGAGGTGGATTGCCAGAGTCAAGGCTGTACTTTGTCGTCGCTTCTACATGCGTTTCCCTTGTCTCTACCGGTACCGGTAGCTAGCTAGTAGGCTCTCTCAGCCAGTGATTCTTGCTACGGTATGTCGCTGGCTGGCCCCCAGTATTCATAAGGGCACACAAATGTTGGCTCCTAGCTACCGGTAGTAGCTAGCCAGCTCGTCAGTAGAAGCAATCCCATCTCATTGGAACAAATAAACTAGAATATGTAGACTTCCTTCTGCTCAGCATGTAGGTACCTGGTATACATGTAGCCATTTGCTCCCAGGAGCTAGACTCTAAAAGAAACAGGCCACATTTTTTGCTTCAGTTTGGAGCCACAGCAAGAACGCCGTTATGCGGTGCGTTACCTCAGCTAAAGCTGCCTGAACCAGCTGCCTTCAATCTCGAACGGAACAGTTAGTCTAGACTAGTTGAATAGAACACATCCAAAAGATTTGCCCGGTAGCCTTTCACTCCCACCCAGGTTTCAGATGCATTTTAAGAAATACAATCTAACTAAGCAGTTACTGATCACCAGCCAAATAAAGGATATAGAAGACACAATGATGTGATAGAATGAGCAAAATCTTTGTACATTTTGGATGGATATTTGGGATGGCTTGTAGTCTCGTACACTAAAATAAATCATCAACTTGGGTAGTTTTGGCAGGACACTTCCATCATAACCTTCCCCACCGACTTTTGTCTGTTCGTTACGTCCGGGTGGACCTTCATGCAGCGTACCAAGTGATCTTTGGAGATACCGGTATCTGAATTTCTCTTCCCGCAAAGCCTTGTTCTGGCTTCTTCAGCGCAGATCTTCTAGGCTGCAGGTGTGGCCTTCGGTAGGTACCGGTAGTTGCCAATGGTGGAAGTGCGTGTCGTCCTGGAGGCAGGTGCCCTTTGGCTGATGATCCTTTAGCATACCATTCATTGACAGGGGTTTTGGGGTATACTAGACCATTGTCTTTTTCTTGAACTTGATTTTTGGCCGTATCGTCCAGCTCGAAGACAGTTTCAACTCCCGAGAAGGAAACCGAACGAGGGGACGGTCTCCGCAACACGCTCGGAAGGTAGGAAACGGGCGTTTTCGGTCCATCTTCGTCTTTCTCTACTCTCTTGAGGTATCGCTTATCGGGTGAAGCTTGAGGGTCCTTGAAATATTCAAATCCCTCAACTACGGATAGGTCAAGGTCTTGCGATGAAGACCTGGAGGAACAATCTGTGAGGGCAGGAGCCGCCGAGTCGTCAAAGAAGAAGGAAAACAAATTCCAGCCTTTGGTCGTTGCTTTGCCCTCAGAGCTCTTGTCAACCTCGCTGCCCCGATTGTCGAGAGCTTGGAGTCTCTCTTCCGATATGCTCTGACAATCTCCCTCGTCCATCTCAGGAGAAGCCAGTTCTAAGGGCGGCGACGTTTGAAAGACAATGAATCGATGTGATTGGGGCATGATTTCTTTCATGATGAGTGTGATTGGAGGGAGAGAAATTTTGTGTCTACGGGAGGGAACTGATGGAAGACACCAAAGGAATCAAACTGGTTCGCTTGTTGGATTGATGGAATGAGCTCGTCCACCACCAGTTCTTGGCCTTGATGATCGTGCTTGTAAGGATGACGAAGGCAGTTTGTTCTCACTTGTTTAGGAGAGGAAAGCCGGGCTTCTTGACTGACGATGGCAAAGTTGTTGGAGCAGAAGAGCCGTCTACAGAAACAGCGTACGTGGAATAACAGCAGCAACAGCATATTAGCAACCAATTCGCGATGGTGGCCTGGGTCTTGCCATCTTCCGATAGATGATGATCTTCAGCTGGGATCTGGGATGGAGTGACGACCTGTCCTCTTTCTCCTGCCTGCTTTTTCCTCTAAAGGTGATAGAATTGTTTAGTTAGGGACGGCTTCCGATAAGCCAAACTCTTCTGGATCCTTTAGGGAGGTCCCGAAGGGACAGATTCTGTTTTTTGTTTATCATCCAACCAGCGCAGCCTTCCTTCGTGACGCGTCCTTCCTCTTGGGAAGGAGGCTTCTTGTTCAGAGATTTAGCTAAAGTGACAGGCATTCGCGCTGAAAAGGGTTAATGAGGAGCTGAAGATTTCATTTCATCTTTGGTGGCCAAAACAGGTGACAATGCTCGACAGCTTGATTTCAGATTCAGATTTCAACTCGGCTTGTAGTCGCCCCAAAAGTTATGAATGAAGAATATCTACCATGATACAGAGATGGCTACAGGCTGTAGCCTCCAGGAACTGGAAACAAGAGCAACACCGCCAACATAACCACAGGTGGAAAAACCTTGAGGATCCGGGCCATGTCTTCCACTTGGACCAACATCCTTTGACCCTGACAAATCGGCTCTCCTCCAAATGTACCCTGATTCCGCTCCTGCTCCACTTGCTGCTGCCGTTCCAAAAGATACTTTCTTGCTCTGAAATAGTAGACCAATGCCCCCGCTGCAGAAATGGCTGACAATGCAATTTGCGTGATCATCCAGCCGGCATACACTTCCATGTTGCGGGTCACACTCAGCCATACTTTCGGATTGTGAGCCAACCCAAGGACCAGCCAGGATACGTTGCAGATCTGGTGGACAAACGTTGGGCAGTGCAAACATCTCAATAGTTTGTGCACCAGCATTATCGCTCCCACTACACAAACGTACCAGAGTACGCATGGGAGATGGGAAGCATAGTTCATCATCGACAAAAACTCTGACTGCAAAGTAGACCAAAACAAGTTTGTCAAGTTCAAGTTTGTCCAGTTCAAGTTTGTCCAGTTGGGCATGAAGGATGAAGACGGCTGCGGGGAGTCTTCTTCTTGCATACTGTCGTTGTCTTCACATCCACATGCCTGCAATCAAGTAATAGTCAGTCAGTCAATGATCCTCACTGCATCAGAGTAGAGACACGCTGTAATACGTACCATTTCCGCAAAACTTTCCCCAAAATGTTGCAATGTAAAGTAGTCCAGCTCACCCTTAACGTCGACGAGACATCGACCACCTTCCAGCATGATACAAACTATAAAACTGTAGTACATTGCGCTTGCAATGTTGCTCCAGCACGATGCATGACGTTCCGATAGATCTTTCAGGTACTTGTCGTATTTTTCAATAACAGAGGATGACTGACGTTGAAGCTCGATAGAGAATTCCCGTTGCGCGTGCAGCTCTTTTAGTCGACTAGATTGATGCAACATTGTCAACTCTCCAGCTGTCCGGTGTGAATCTAGCTTCAGGCCTGAGCTCTGCAGTCCTTCTTGGATGATTTGAAAGGTTTCACAATATTCCCGGGCAATTTGTTGCGGTGTTGCCGCTATTGCAGGTGAAGACCATGGCTGAATGGGCCCATCCACTTTGGTTGGTGTTTGCTGGACAAGCTCGGAAGGATATCGGGATGCATCCTTTCGGGGAGATTGATATTTTGGCATGGTTGATAAGGAGTTGTCGGTCCTTCTCTGTCTAGTTGCAGAAGAACAGAGAGGGATTTGCCGTGGAACAGGGGGAGAATCTTCCCACTCTTCATCGACAAGAGGTGGAGGAGATGGAGACCGCTCTCTAGAGACTGCGGATTGGTGCTCTTTGACATGGCATGAGTTGCCCGACTTTTTCATCTGCATGCACATTGCTTCCTGCTGTTGAATCATTTCAGATATTTCCATTTCCACGCTTTCGTGGCATTTTTTGCTCAACACAGATTGCCGTTCAACCTTGACACTTCTGCGTTGCTCCAATGACAAGGCTTCATTCTTGTCTTTGACACTTTCAAACTGCTCGCTCAGATTCTGGATGCACTGGGTAGCTTCGGATACCTCGACAGTGCCAGAATGGATTGATGCTTCCTTTTTCCGAGATACCCCAACATTCGATGTTGCCTGTTTCTTCTTCGACAACATCTCCTTCGTGTCGATATCATCCTCAGGAGCAGGATGCCTAGATGCCTTGATCCATTTCCAATACGCCCAAAGAATGATGGTGGCAAGCAAAAAGGTCCACATCACTTTGAGGTAGAAAAGGCCATCGTGTCCGTACACGCCAGTGTCATGTGCACGTATATCCACCGTGACGGTTTCTTCCTTGTCTTGCTGATCTGGATGTACAATGGCTAGCTCTTTCGTCTTGGGGATAGCAGCCTGTTTCTTCTTGGAGAGGGATGACACGATTACATAGTCGGGATGGTCATACTCAAATCCCCCATTGAAACGCGTGTTCCGTTCCGCATAAATATCCTCCATGATCGCTTCTTCGCCTTGCTAAGAATGCTGTATGTTGTGTTATGTCTCCTTGTGCCGGCTCAATAATAATGAAGCATATGCATAGCGAGGAAGAGGTTGACAACAGCCACAGCGAAGGTTGACAGCGTGGACGATGTGGTCGAAGCTTTGAAGCTTTGACTTTGACTTGAAACGACCTTTCGCTGAAATACTGTTGCTTCTTCACTAAGGTTAGTGTAACTTCAATAAATAGCACACTTTCCCCTCCCCCCCCAAAAAAATCACGCTTTTTCATTTTGCACCACGATCGAGCTCTCAACACAAAAACATCAACAAACACACAACACCAGACAAAACAGAAGGGACAATAACAGTTTCGACTACCCATTGAAGACGTAAAAGTAAGCAGCCAATGAAGACGATCGTTCCGAGCGGACCGCTGTAGTCTTGTCGAAACTCTGGTTGCACTTTCGCGGTTGCTGTCGTCGTCTCACGATTCGATTCACATCATTCTCCTCGTCTTTTTCACACACAGCTCCTCTTTTCTCCGTTTTGAAAATGGTTGTCGAAGAAGAATCTTTTGGTATTGCTGGATTTTCGGAATCTGCAGGCGGTCAAGCCGAGGGCGTCGAAGATTTCGAATTCGGAGGAGTTGGTACGGATGGCCTCGACGGCTACAACGACGAATACGGGGAAAGTGACCTCGGAGCAGGAGGGGGCTATGATGACTTCGACGACAATTTCGACATTGAAAACAACACAGACTCCAAACTTGAAGGCACCGCTGCCGATGCGAATGCTGCAAGCAACGATTTCTCCAAATTATTTGATGCAGCAGACGGCACGACTCCGGGGACAGATTCAGCAGCGGAGCATGGGCTTGATGATTTTGACCGTCAATTTGGTGAAGAAGGTGGTGTGCCAGAGCTTGGTGGTGATGGGACAGACTTTGGTGACGGTGGGACAGGTCTCGATGGAGGAAGCGCCATGGAAGCAATGTTTTCCCAACCAGTCGTCGCCGACACGGCACCAGCGGAACAATCGGTGGAACAAGAAGGAACGGCAACCTTGACGCAGCATGGAGGAAAAGAAAACCATGCTGCCACTGGAGACTCTTTTGGAGTGGAAGAGTCTCAGAAACAATACGAATCGCCTCCATCCACAGTCAACCCTCCCGAATTGCAACCAAACCGCGACCAACACGGCGGAGAGTCGTCGAGCAGGCAGCAACTCGCATTTGAGGGCAAGGAGACTGCGCGACCAACCGAGAGAGTGGAGGAGGCTCACGAGTACAACGACGACTCTTTACAACCCAAGACGAGAGAGCAGTTCCCTCCTCAAACTCTTGGAGGCCAGCCGAAATCGGGACCACCAGGAGCTGTCGGCGGAGACAGTCTGCAGATGCCCTCGAAACAGACTGCGACGGCAGTGGCGGATTTGTCTGTCGTTCAGAAGAGGACCAGGGTTACATTTGAGTCTCCCACTAAAGAACAAACTTTTGGCTATAACTCTCCCGACAAGGGGCCAAGTCATCGAAGCAACGAGACGTTGAACGATCCCGATCCACTTTCTGTCGCCAACCCAGCTGCGAAGGATTGCCTACCGGTACAGGATCATGTGGAGGGGCTTTCGATGCCCAAGCCGGCTCCCAAGATGCCTACTCAAATGCCTGGTGGAGAGAACGAGATGTCGCGGCCTGACAAAGCGGGATTCAAGAGTGCCACAGCAAACGCTGCCGCAACATTGTCTCATGGTGCCGCTGACAAAGGGTCCTTTCTGTCAGGGCAGGAAGGAGCTGAGCGTGCGAAACAAACCACCGCCGAAACGATGCCGGCAGCTCGCGCCAATGAAGAAGAGGAAGAACTCCGTCAACAGGGGCTTGAAGCCTTGCAGACCAAGCTCAATGCTCCTCATCGCGAGGTTCAAGGTGCTGCTATGAACGATGCGCCCAAGAACGGGGCATCGATGGTGACATCCCAGGTTCAAAAGCAAAACGTGAGTGCCATTGATGGTACTACCAAGACGATGGATTCCTTTTACGCCAGAAAGAGCACTCCAACTCCAACTGCGCCCGAAAAGGACCCTGGTTCGCATGGAATGAATGGGCAAAGCAATCCCGCAGCAGTGTCAATCCACCGAGACAACCGAGACAACTTCAATAGTCGATCTGTTCGCGACTCCCAGACGACTATCACGAATCCGGATCAACAGGAGCATATCCTCAAACAGACTCGGAATGTGCCCGGAACGTTCCTTCAAAGCACCGCTAAGCAGAGCCTTCCAATTGCTCCCACTCGCACTACGCAGCGACCTGAGCCTATGGACACAACGGTTGATCCACAAGGAGCGAAGCTGCAAACGCCGTTCGTACCGGTCCCCACTTTGCAGCGACCTGGGCCTTCGCAGGAAACGTTCAATCATCAAGGATCGAAGCAGAATATGCACTCGTCTCGCACGTTGCGGCAGCCTCGTCCCGGGCCGATGGACACAACGTTTGACCGCGACGTCGCCACGCAGAAGATGTCGGCTGACCTAGCTTCTCGTCGCCCCTTGCCAATGAATGAATCACCTTCGGGGCGCAACGTGAGCGGATCAATCGGTCGAGCAGTCGACACCCAGAAGATGCCTGCCGTTCCAGCCTCTCAGCGCCCCGGGACAAGGGCCCCAATGGATGAGCCCCGGTTTGAAAACTCTGCGAATGGTACGGCGACTGCTCCTGGTGTGCCGCAGAAGCACAATACCATGCCGCGAACCTCGCACATCCCGCCCAAGCAGTCTGGTTCGAAGAGAGTATCGCTGTCACCTCGAAAGCCACGTTCATTCTCCCCTCGGTCTGCTTCCAACGTGTCACCACCAACTCAAGGCAACAAGGTGGTGCAAGCCTCGTGGGGTGCTCCTCCTCATCGTCGACCCTTTGCTCCCGCCGCGGGAAGAACAAATGTGGCTCAGACAGGCAAGGCAGATATGAAAACGACAGCAGCCCAAGCAGAACAGCCGCGAGCATCTCCCCGAGCCGCCGCTTTTTCGCCCAGGGGACCGCCAGCGTTTCAAAACGAGGCTGAGAGGGTGGTCCCCGGCGTCCCTGAACGTACTCATCCAGGTGGACAGACGGGACAGACAGCCAAGCTAGGATTAGTTGCACCTTCGCCAACGCCTCCCGCTCATCAGGGTCTTCGTCAGCCCACCGCCCGTGGTAGGCACGAACATCATGTGGGTATCAACGACGGTGGCTCGAAGGTCTGTCTCTATTTTTGAAGTTGGCAACTGCTTAATTAATGCTCTCGTTCTCATCTAACATTCCTTGCCCATTTCTCGTTCGTCAAGACCCCCGCTGCAAAACGAGGGTCGAGCGTGACTCCTGGACCTCGTACTACACGCAAAATGATGCCGCCAGAACACTTGATGATGGAGCACTCAAACCCTTTGCCTCGCGAAGAGGATCGTCACGAGCCAGCATCTGCTGTAGGTTTGACCATGAATCAGCCCGGTAAGGAACCGATATTCCCAGGGGAATCGATGGCGGATCGCGTCGTGCCCACAAAGACGCCTCGCAAACATCGAGCACCGCAACATCCCTCCATGGGACACGATGATAGCCGAATCCTCCCTGGCCAGAATCCCATTACACCCATCACGCCCACGACGGATCAGGATTTGCACACAGAGCCTCACGTGCACGGAGACTCCATGGCTATGGAGACCGACGAGCGGATCCTTCCACCGCCTGCAAAGGTTGGGGGCATCAACGACGAAGTCGTACCCACTGGGCCAACCGCAATGCAAACTGAAACCGTTGGAGACAGCGAAATTGAAGAAGAAACGTTTGCAAGCCGCCACACCAGCTTCGAAATGGCAGTTCGAGGGCTTCAAGTCAAGCAGGAACGAGGCGCCGAAAAAGTGCTGAACCTCCAGACCATTCTGGCTGAAGTTTATCCGGAGCACCTTCAAGACCAGGGCGAGCTGCAACGTTTGATGGGGCACTGCTATGAGCTAGCGGATCTATTTCAGGAGCAAATCGAACTGTATGAGACCTATATTCTCTCCGACGACGAGGAAACTGAGATGGAGGATGACGCCAAATCAGCCATGTTTGTAGAAGAGGGATAAGGGAAGGAAGTACAAATCGAATCTAATGATTCAATCAATCATTTCATCGGGCATATACCGGTAGTGACAGCAAGTGTGAAGACGAATCGAATCGAATCGAATCAATCTATTGACGAATTGATAAACATACCGTAGCGTGAAACTATTTATTTGTGGATTGGAGTCTGTGTTCTCAATGAAAAACGTTTGTGGATTGAACTCTGTGTTATATAGCTACCGGTAGCCCTCCCGGTAGCTCAGCAGAAGACGGAGAAGAATGACGCACTCGAACAGGTACTGGTACCGGTATCGACCAGTGCAGTCAAGAGGATTTCGTCAGTGAGTTGAAACGCGTCTATCGCTGCCCCTGCGCCGCGTCTCGTTGCAATCGCTTCATTGCAACTCGTTGAATGGCTTGTTGCTTGGCCTGCTGTTCTTCCAGGCGATTTTTCAGATCTTCCACGTAATCCAAAACGAAATCCTCCCTCGCCGCCTTGTCTATGCACTTCCAAAAGTCATCCATGCCGTCCCCAGTAATGGCACTGACACCACAGCAATGGGCAAAATTGCTATAGAACTCATCGAGAACAAGACTGAGGCTCCTCGTGAGTGACCCATAAAAGCCAGTGGATGTCATTGTGGCAGAGTTGTTGGTGTTGGAATCCATGCTTTCGTCTAGTGCTTCTTGGAATGCTTCGTAGTCTTTCATCCATTCCATACAAAAATCATGTGGGACGACATCATTCTTGTTGAATACAATGACAAGGGGCAGACGCGTGCGGTAAAACATGCTGCAAGCGTACAACATATTGCTCATGAATGTGTTGGGGCTGGAAGCACATCGAGCCGTGTCGACGACAAAGCAAAGAACCGTGGGAAAGGCCGATGCCAAAGATTCGCTGACGATGGTCCCCGATGCACTCCACGTGAAGGCTTCAATTTGTCCGGGGGTATCCACAAGAATATAATCCATTCCAATAGCGGCGATGTTGTCGTCTTCGTCGTTTTCTTCCTCTGTAGTTTCTTCGCCTTTTTCAGTCTCATTGGTTTCTTCTTCGTCGTCTGGTTCCTTTTTCTCTGACTGCCCGTACGCCCGCTGTTCCAAAATGGCCATGATCTGATCAAATTTAGTCGTCAGCAAATTTAAGGAGGTAAGAATGGCTCCATTGGGTCCCAGTTTGTGTTGTCTCATGACTTCCTTGTAGTTGATCGTGTCCCGAATATCAATGGCGGCGCCGTAGGCCAAATGATGGGTAGCTGGATCCAAATTGATGCAGTAGGTGGGTACAGTGGAAGCAGCAGCCACATTCTCTTGTTGCTGTTGTTGTTGGTCAATCGCAGTCTCGCCATCTTCGTCAGCTTTTGGTTCTCCCTCTCCATCGGCCTTGTCTTGCTTAGTCGTGGTGGTGGGTTTGGCCTTGTTGGCCGCATGGTATTGCATTTGGGCCATCAAACTGCTCTTTCCAGAACCAGCCATACCAACCACAATCACACATATTGGAGTCTTTTGGCCCTTTTCCAGGCGCTCAACGATGGGTGGGAGACCAGGGCTAGTCGACATGGTGGTGGTTTCAGGATCGTGTTGTTGGGAGAAAGAGTTAGTTTGTGCTGCTTGCTTGGTTGGTTGTGAGAAAGAGAGGAACGCCAAAAGCCCAAAAGATTTGCCATTCACGAGTGTTTTTAATCCCGAATAAAGAATCTTTTCCACGCACGTTTGATTCGCGCTCTGAGCAGTTTTCTGCGCGCAACAGAATTGACACCTGGCAGCTTGGATACCAACATTCGAATGCCCTCTTTCCTCTTCTTTGGTTTGGATCCATGAATGGGTTAAACTGGCGAGCCCAATGACAAGATCCAGTACTGGAGCTACCTGATTTCCACGTTGACTGGTCCACAGGCATCTGAAATGGTAAAAACACCGGATACGCGAAACAAAGCTGTGCCAATTTCAGGAAAGAAAAAAGTAGCAGACACCCGATAGTAGACCAGTATCCGAGCAGACATTACATTGTCATTCAGACCTGTCAGTCGCTGCCAACGAACTGAAGTACATAATATTTTTCCAAACCTTTCTATCTCAATCTCTGAGAGACCAAAGCTTTCGAATAGAACCAGTCCTTTTTTGATATCCATCGTACCTTTATTGATTGATCGATTGAAACTGTTCCACCATGAAGATCCAACGATTGGCGTTCCAAGCATTGGCGCTCTTGGCTCTCAACCAACACATGGGATTTGATGGCCATGTCAAATCAGGTGAGTCAATAAATAACTCATCAAGGATATTTTTGTCTGTTGGATTGGTTAATGGGTTAATGGGATGATTTATTTGTGGAATGGGTGGGGTATCGTGGTTTAAGTTTTTGTGTAACTAACCGAACAGTATATTGTTTCTGACATTTCCAGGCATCATGATGGCTTTCGCCGACGAGGGTGCCGAGGCGGCAGCCGAAGAAGAACCACCGGTGGATGTTGTCGATGAAGCTGAAGCCACCACTCCGGAGGAATATGCTCCACCTGCAAACGCTGAAAATTACCAATTCCAGGCTGAAGTGCACCGCATGTTGGATATTGTCGTCAATTCTCTTTACCAAAACAGGGATGTCTTTTTGCGAGAATTGATCAGTAATGCCAGCGATGCTCTGGATAAATTCCGTTACTTGACTTTGACTCAGGGAGACCAGTACAAGGGCGACGATATCCCTCTCAAAATTGAGTTGGACTACGACAAAGATGCTGGAACTTTGACAATCCGAGATACTGGCGTGGGTATGACACACGATGACATGATCCAAAATCTTGGTACCGTGGCTCGTTCCGGAACCACCAAGTTTTTGGAGGCTCTCAAGGAATCTGGAGGAGAGACCGGTGGTGGCGTCGAACAAATTGGACAATTTGGTGTTGGTTTTTACTCGGCATTTTTGGTCGCTGACCGCGTCACTGTCGCTTCCAAGAGTCCCTTGAGTGATGATCAAAATATCTGGGAGTCTGTCAATGGTGAAAGTGAATTCCACATTTACGCCGATCCTCGTGGAAAGACGATGGATCGCGGAACTGAAATTACTCTGCACCTCAAGGATGACTGCAAGTAGTAAGTTTGCAAAAATCAGGGAAGGTTTTGTGGTTGTCAATTTTGTGGGCTGTTTCATCTCTGACTTGTTTAAAAAAATTATGTTCTCAATTCACGCAGCTATGCCAAGTATGAAAAGCTCAACCAGTTGGCCACGCACTACTCTGAGTTTGTTGTGCACCCCATCTACATCAAGAAAGTAACCGAAGAAGAAGTAGAAGATGAGGATGCTGAGGAAGACGAGCCAGAAGAAAAACCCGAAAAGCCGGAAGGCGAAGAAGATCTCGAAGTTGAGGAGGAAGAAGAGGAAGAAAAGCCGAAGAAGATGAAGACCGTCACCACTGAAACTTGGGATGAAGTGAACTCCAAACAAGCTCTCTGGACTCGCTCTCCCGAGGAAATTTCCGACGACGAATACCAATCATTCTGGCACAGTTTGAACGGAGACGAGTTTAGCAATGCCACCTACTGGACCCATTTCAACGCTGAAGGTAACATCAACTTTAAGAGTCTCATGTACATGCCCAGTGAAATTCCACCCGAATTGAAGTCTGGCAGTGTTGACCAATTCACATCGGGAATCCGCATGTATGTCCGCAAAGTCTTGATCAGTGACAGCTTTGAATTGATGCCACGATACTTGAGTTTCGTCAAGGGTGTTGTGGACTCCGACGACCTTCCCTTGAATGTCAATCGTGAAACCCTTCAGGAAAGCAAGATTATCGCCATCATTAGAAAGAAGCTGGTCAGAAAGACATTGGACATGTTCAAGGAGTTTTCCAAGAAGAAAGCACCCAAAGAGGAAGATGAGGAAGCCGAAGCTGAAATCGGAGCCGACGGCACTGTGACCGAGACGGAAAAGGACGAAGATGACGGTCCCTCTCCGTACTTGGAATGGTACAAGAAGTTCAGTACTTCCTTGAAGCTTGGCCTTCTTGAGGACAACCCCAACCGAAAGCGCCTGATGAAGCTGCTCCGATTCCAAACATTGAAGTCTGACGGCGAGTACATCAGTTTGGACGAGTACGTTGAAAACATGAAGGAATGGCAAGACGAAATCTACACCCTGGCTGGAGCCGATGCTGACACTATCAAGAAATCTCCTTTCCTCGCCCCCTTTGGAGAGAAGGACGTCGATGTTATCTTCATGGACGAACCAATTGATGAATACTGGGGTGGCCAGATCAAGGACTATGAAAGCACCAAGTTCACTGATATCTCCAGGGAAAATGTCAAGTTCAAGGACGAAGATGAGGATTTGGTCAAGCGACGCGAGAAGGCTTACAAGAGCAAGCTCAAGCCCTTGACCAAGTGGCTCAAGAAGCTGTACGAAGCTTCTATCATGCGTGTGGCCATTTCGAGTCGTCTCGGATCGTCCCCTGCCATTGTTTCGAGCACCCAATACGGAAACTCTGCCAACATGGAACGTATCTTGCGAGCACAGACATTGACCCACGATGGCGGATCACCCAGTATGTCCATGAAGATTTTCGAAATCAACCCTCGCCATCCACTGGTCTTGAAGCTGCTCGACGGCGCCCCTGAGGATGATGATGGAACACCTGATACTGATGTTGTGGATGCCGCTTGGGTTCTACATGACATGGCTATGATGAACGGTGGTTACCCCATTTCAGACCCAGCGGCCCATGCCATGCGCATGACAAAGTTTATGCAATCTCAACTCGGAGTTGATTCTCTGACTTTGGAACCTGAAATCGACCCACCTGAAGAAGAGGAGGAAGCGCCTGAGTTTGACTTGGATGGCATGCCAGACATGGGCGGCATGAACATGGACGACTTTGACCTCGGAAGCTTGGACTTGGATTAGAGAGCTGACTGCCACTTCAAACCACAACGAAACTCTTTTAGGATCTTGTAGGGGCTCAATGTCACGACTTAGTAACCATCCTGATTGAACTCTTAGTTATTGTATGTTCACTCCCGCACTACTAGGTGCCTTTCCTGTGTTCCCACAGTAGAATAGTAAGGTTATCGTTTAGTCTGGGCTCAAAGAATCGACTACTCAGCAGTGGCATCTCCTCAATTCACTGTTGATGCTACATAGAAATTACTACTAGAATGCTACGAAGAACCAAATAGTGGCATGCACTACTAAGGAGTGTCACTCCTGAACAGTGGCGTTCGCATATTCCAACCACTCCGGAGGAGTGAGAATACCAATCTTTGCCGTTGTTAATGTTGGGGGGTGGCTTGTTGAGTATCCGAACCATGGCTGTTGTTGCTGCTACCACCACTATTGGTGCCACTATTGTTGCTGCTGGATCGAGAACCAATCTCATCCAAGAGCCGCTTCATCTGTTGCTCATTGTCCTCGAATTCTGTTGCAGTTGGATAACTCCAATCTTTGAGCCTCTTGCCGGTGATCTTCCAATCGTCACGAGCCAATCCCATTGCCGCGGTGTTGTGATAATGGAGGAAACAGGAGGTTCTGCCATTGCCAATCTTCTCCTGCGGATGCTTGTGCACTGCCTTTCCACAAAGCTCGCAATACTGGTATGCAGGCTTGCCACAGAAGACGCAATTCAACTTCTTCTTGTTGGCCATGGTGTTGCATGATTCATAATGCTCGAGGAGAGGAGTAATGAATCCGCAGAGTCGGTCGCCGTGGTTGTTGCTTGAAAAAGTATCCAAACTGACACCAGAGGCTGTGGTTAACTCATCGTCCGCAGGTCGATTATTGTTGCGTTGAGGAGATCTTGAGCGCTTCCTTTTGGCTTTCGGTGTGGAGGTGGTATCGCGCATCTTTTCATCTCCAAGATAACGGCAATGGCGAGGGGCGTATTCCAACATTTGCTTCGCCAATTTCTCTCGGAAGCGGTAGAAGGAAACAGGTTTGTTAAGACGACAATCAGCCAAGCCCTGGAGCTTACCCTCGCAGGCTTCAAGATAGATGTCATACGCAACAACAACAGCCATGGCCTTAGCGTGGAGCATCGGTGAGTGCCAGTACTTCCAGGAGCTGAGGAAATAATAGAAATTTGAGATAACAAATTCAAATAGTTAGAACATCGAAAATAATAGCAAGAGCGATTCAAATTGACTTACCGGTAGCCCATGTTACAGTTTTGAATCAAATGATCCAGCTTATCCACGCCATTGTAGGATTTGAGATAGAGTTGCCGCGCTTCGTTCATCTCAATGTACCAACGGTATTTGTTGCTGCCCCTTCCACGCTCCTTGTTAGACACATAGAGACTCATGGAGTTGTGTGCGTTAACCGAGGCAATATTGCAGGATGATGTGGACTGGAATGATGTAATCTGCAACAAGGAATTGCCATGCTTCTTGACAGCGAAGATGGGCTTTTCATATCTTGCCGCTCGCGGACGCACACTGCCATCGGTTTTCTCCTTGCACCAGTACTTGGCTGCCACCGCTTTTGGTAGTCGATCCCTTCTGCAAGTCATGGTGAGACCAAAGCCCTCTTCCGCAGCATATTCCATGATACAATCGCCACTGAAGTAGTTATCCCATGTCATGTGGGGCTGTTGTCGAAAGATAATAGACTTGCGATCTTCCACGTTGGCGTTTTCGAGGATACCATCTATCATGGGCTTAAGCCGTTCGTAGATCATCCGGAGCTCACTTGGCCCCTTCAGCGAGAAGGGGAATGTGTGGACCTTGTGTCGATGGACGTATGCTCTTGGACGAATTCGGTCGACATCAACACACAAGACAGTTTGTCCTCCACGGGAGATGCCAGGTTTTCCAATAACATTGCCCAGATTGCCAGCGCCAGCTTCTCCGTAGCCTTGATGTGGCCAAGAAGTCTCATCTCCACAAAGATCAAGACCTGCGAACTTGGTGATGGCGTTGACATTGTGGCAGATAGTCTTGTAGATGTAATCATACTTGTAACAAGGGTCATATCCGGGCTGACCTTTCTTTGCCACTGTAAGGTTGTTGCAAAGCTTGTAGATGCGCTTGATCAACAGCCAGCGTGTTTTTCCAAAGGCACTGTTGACGAGAGGACAATACTGGCAATTATCTTGCCTCTTCTCAAAGCGGCGGAGGATGGCACCATCACTTCCACCCAAAACTCCATCTTGGATGACAGATCCATCCCATCGAACAAACTCTTGAATGGACACTGGTCGGAAGTTGTGGAAGTATCCGTACCCAAGATCAAGCTCAGTGATAGCGTAGGTGTTGCTGTTGACAGCTACCGGTTTGTAGAATGACAAGCGTGGATCATTTTCGTTCATGGAAGTATCGCACATTGGAAGAATCAACTGGTGAAAGAAAAGGGCATCGGGAGCATTATCTTCTTCCAGCATCCTCTCTTTTGATAGGCCGAGATGGGCCAGCGTCTCACCACTGAGAGATCCCTTTCGAGAATCAGGGAACAGGTTGTTCTTGGTTGCTCCGGAGCGATATGTGGGCAGACTTTTCTCCCAACCATCATAGAAAAATTCCCATCCTCCACAGACACGCTTGTTTTGGTGGTTGAGGGGAACAGGAGTCGCTCCCGTTGGCAATGAATGGTACATGTAGGTTCTTTTCCGTGCTCTACCCTTGCCTTTGCTTTCAAACTTGGGCCTGAAAGTAAACTCGCTCCAGTTGCCAGGATTGTCAACATCAACAAACGCCGGCTCTATTTCAAGAAAAATGCCTTAGGAGTAGGTTCCCAGGTTCAAGCTGGGGCAAACCTGGTGGCCGCTCCATTCCGGGGTGTGCCAGACCAGGGATAATGATGTTCGTTGCAACAGGAGTCGTAGTGCCGTCCTGGTCGCCACTGGATGGAAGACGCAATAACAAGCCAAGCTCTTCATCCAAAGAATCCAGGAAGGACTCAGCTCATCTTCTGTTAACTCCCTCATAGCGTCCTTTGCTAGCTCGCCTTCATCATCAGAGTCGTCATTTGTTGCCTTCGCTCGGCAATCTAAATCAAAAGCTTCCTCCTCTTCTTCTGCGGTCAATCGCACCGGAGGATCAACTTGTTGCTCTTGTTCATTCATAGTCCTTGACTGCCTCGTTCTCGTGGCGTTGTTGGTGATATTGCGAAGTGGTGTAGTTACCTGTCTTCTTGATGCCGCTGATGCCAATGTTTGGAGTGGAGTGACATTTTCACGTCCACGATTTTGTCGACTTCTTGTCGAACTTGTTAGGTCAGAAGTATGCGATCCAGGAGACAGGAAGTTGCCAACAACAGCGGTAGGCGGGCCATTGCCTCTAAGAGAGGGCATGGGAGGGCCGCAGGACTCCTCATCGGTGCTGTCAGAGGTGTCGCTCATGGTGGGATTGTGTTGAATTTCCTGTCATTGTGAGTGCATCAGTCGCATTGCAATGGACGAATAAAGATCCGTCGATCTGTTCCGGAAGCCCGCGTTGATCGCCTACCAGGCTCTACGCGCCCAGATCCACTGCCCGGCAGTCGACGACTACTTAGACGAAGTAGCGCCTTACCTACCTACAGACATGAAGACAAAGTCAATAAACCACACGTCTGTATAGCCAAAAAGACGTGCTGGAAGGTTCAAAGGCAGGCTGTCAAGCGTTGGTGCTCTCTTATTGAGATATGAAGTCGGCAAAGCTAGATTTACTGCCGGGCAGTGGATTCACGAGTCAGCCAAGACTAAACGATAGTGGATTATGCTAGGTTAGCCGGGACACGGTATAGGTGACGCCAGGCTTGTAAGTGGTGGGGGAAGGGTTCAAACGGTTCCATATGGGAGGCAGCAACAAAGGTGCCGGCTAATACATAGGTGGGAGGGGTCAAGAGGTTCCACATGGTGGGAGGCAGCAGCAAAGGTGCTAGCAAATACATAGCTAGGCCGGTTCGGACCAAGAGCAAAAGAAAGTGTTGTAATGCAGTTGTCGAGCAGTCTAAGGGATTTGAACCCCAAGCCCCGGTCAAATCCCATTGACTGCAAGATCAAGCATCTTCTCACCAGACTGTCTTTTCCTTGGAGACTTTGTTGCCACAGGCTTCCCCTGGGTTACTGGGCATTTTGTCTGTTTAAATTTGGGAAAGTGTTTTGGCAATTAAGTGTAAATGTCTACACACAGTTAGTAGACATACGTAGACAAAGTAGACATTGTGCGACATTAGGAGACATTAGTAGACAAAGTGATACATTGGTAGACATTGGTAGACAAAGTGAGACATTGTGAGACATTGTGAGACATTGGTAGACAAAATCAGACATTTTGTACTGTTTTACTGTACTGTGTAGACAAAGTGAGACATTGGTAGACATTAGTAGACATTGTGCGACATTGTGAGACATTGTGAGACATTGTGAGACATTAGTAGATATTGTGAGACATTGTGAGACATCCGTAGACATTGTGAGACATAAGCCACTTTACAAAGGAGCATAGAACATTTAGGAAACTCTGTAATCAGATACAATAGCCTTAAATAGACAAAATGCCGAGTAACCCTGCTTTGCTTTCAACGCTCCGTTGCTGATTTATGTGAAAGTTTGTAATACCATGTTTTTCTTAGCTTTGCAACGCATTCGTGCCCGAGCGGTCTAAGGGGTTCGACTCAAGTTCGAATGTATTCGTACTCCAGGGTTCAAATCCCTGCGAATGCAAGATTTTGGGAAATGTTTAATTTTTGAGCTTGTTTTAAACCCCATCTACCTGGGGTATTTCCGGGATTCTTGGATTCGTGGAGTAGCGTTGCATCAGGCTGCTTTTCCAGATGATGGCAAATGATGATGATGATCCAGGTAGAACCTTTTGCTCACCATTTCTCTTTGCCCTCCAGACTTTGTTGGCTCTAGCTAGCTCTGGGCATTCTGCTATTTGGCTTGGCTTTTCAAGGCTCTGTTCTTTACTTCCAACTGCGACTAGATAGCGCTATAATAGCCGTACATATCTCTGCAATTGAGTGCATTTATGGCAATCTTAGTGCCCAACGTCCAACCACGCAGCCTTGGCTTGGCCACTTCTGAGAATCTTCTTTTGCAACACAAGCACTATAGCATTATTATTAGCAGACGACGTCCAGGAAAAACGATCCATTCTACTTATTACATGTTCCCATTCTTGTCATCCTTCTCGCCCGCCACGTCTTGTGCGTGCAATCCGTCTGTGTCTGCGAAAACCCACCCACACAATCGACAGCACCGCCATCCACGTTGTCGGTTGCTTCTCCAAAACTTCTTTAAAGCATTCCTTTGCTGTACGGTACAAGCACGGCCACTTTATTAGTTTAGAGGTATAGGAAAGCAACTGTGGTTGCCAGAACTGTGGAAGACGACACTAACAAGGAAACGAAAATGCTTGCACTGTCATTGGTTTGGGTACCGGCACCGGTAGTACATGTATGGGCAGTGGCTTGGTTGCTGTTGTTGTTGCATGCTTCTGGCACTCCAGTGCAGCCATCAAAGCCGGCTTGTGTCATGATCTCATTATACTGCTCCGAGGGGAGTCCAGCAATGCAGTCGCGGTGAGCCACGGCTTGGGCGTGGCAATCACATTGATCGCAGATTGCAATACAGCACACTTGCAAGGAATACTCGTTGCAAAGACCCCTGACTGTGGGTGAGGCACTTGGCGCCGAGCTTGGGAGTGAGCTGGGAGAGGCGCTTGGTGCCGAACTGACGCTTGGTGAAGCACTTGGAAATGCGCTGGTGCTGTTGCCTACACAATTGGCGAATCGCGGACAGGGTACAGAAGGAACCACAGGCAGGTCAGGGAGAACAGGAGGCAGAGACGAGCAACGCCAAAGGCACCGTCGATCGATGTCCCCATCCAAGCTTTGTAAGCAATTGTCCCACGCAGATATGGTTTCGACGCATCCTTGCGTTGTTTGAGCAATGCCCAAGCAGAGCAGAAGCAATGGAAGCAGTTGATGGTACCGGGATCGGTGCTTCATTGTTGAGGCCATCGCCAGAAATAAACCTTCTGCCTTTTCCTTTTCTTGTGCGGCTGTTGATCACCAGGCCGGCAGGATCAGATAGTCTATCTGGCTAGCTCGAAACAGGAAGCAGACTTGCATCGATATTGAGACTCGACTGAGCCGGCATTAGCAATAAGCCGCAAGAACACGGATGGAGGTGCTCTGCATCGATCTGGCATCGAATCGAATCTGGATCTTCTGGAGCACAGCTCTGCTGGTTGTTGAAAAGATCCAACGACTTCCACCAAATCCGTGAGGTTTCCTCACGACTTAAGGAGGTACCACCCGCTTTTACTCCCGAGTTTGTTTTGGCCAGTCCACAGTCGATAGCTAAAATAGAAATCCATGCTGAACCATGGTCAATCCACACCTAGTCAGCCTCTGACGTTTGCAGTGAATTTTACCCGGAGATGGAATCTTCTTTTTGGAATTCTTTTTTATTTTAGCTGGCAACCGCGACCATGGCCAATTCTGTGGTAACAAAAGTAAACAACGGCAAGTTATGAATGTTGCCTCAGAAGAGGAAGGAGCTGAAACCTCTACAGACAACCCACAGATTGTAACTCCGGCAGTGGTAGGAGGAGATGATTCAACTCCGGTATTGAGAGAAAGTCGCTGTCAGAGAGGAGTTACACCCATTTTGCCTTGTTTTGCCATCAGTGAGAACAAGGCAACAAGTGCACAAGCAACTATCAGAGAGAAATCAACAAGTTAGCTTCCGGAAACCGGGTGGACGTCATTGCGAAGAGGCCTGGTTGGGCCCATTCGATGTTGAACATGGGAGCGCCGAAGAGGAAGGAACATCCAAAACCAACCCCTTCTCCAGTAATCAACAATGTTGCAACTGCCCTCTCACCTCTAGCCGTGGAGGAAGACACAAGGAAGAAGCCACCAACTCCACGTCGACTGATCCTGGAGCACAAAGAGTTATCTCAATTAGTCAATGGCAACACACGATGTTTTACATGCAGACAGCCAAGTGTCCAGCTTACATTCAATACTACGTGTGTTGCCTCTGTCCGTCAGTTGACCTGTGGCAATGAAGAATGCAAGTCATTCGGTGAACCGAAAGAATCTGATGTGTCCAGGACTACCCTTCCAAAGCTCTCGAACCACACAACAAACCTGGGTTTTTCGTGCAACGTTCAGTTTGTGTTAGCTTTCCTTTGGTCTGGAGATGGTGGTGTTGAAGCACAACGGACACTTGCCATGTTGAACTTACCCAACTACACCACAATGTCGAAGAAGTCTTTCTCCAACATTGAACTTGCACTGGCTCCACACATCCGCGAAGTTTGTCACAAGGCCCTTGTGGACAATTTGGTGGAGGAAGTTCGCAGGAGTAATCGTGGAACAAACTTCAATTTCGTGGAATGGGAGGCATCTGTTAGAAAGGGTGAAAGGCCAGAACAAAGAGCGACCATCAATGGTGGAATGGATATGGGATGGAATTAGAAAGGCAGTGGCCGGTCATACAACTCACCATCTGGTCATGCCAGCATTATGGGAACAAACACTGGGAAACCATGTGTTATTTGTCAGAGATCGAAGTTCTGTCGCAAGTGCCAATACCATCTGAGCAGAGGGCTGGACGTACCAGAGCACGAGTGTACCATCAATTATGAAGGAAGCTCCGGTGGGATGGAGCCCCAATCATTGTTGATCATGGTTGAGGAATTGTATGACTTGTACAATGTTGCCGTGGACAAGATCTGCACCGATGATGACTCCACGATGAAGGCTCATTGCAAATGGAGCAACAAAGATTGGTTGACACACCACGAACTCGACAAACTACCCATAATGGGGTACACCAAAAAGGGAAAAGCAAAGACTAGATCAGACGGACACCTTCGCTATCCGGTACCAGAGCCAGTGTTTGTTGCCGATCCTGCTCACCGAAAGAAAACATACCGCAACCATCTGTTCGCGATGAAGGGCAAGAGTGTTAAAGCAAGTTTTGACATGACTGGAGGCGACATTCTTCGTTTGACAATTTACTATGTCTACTTCCTGAAAAAGCTTCCGTCCATGCCCAGAGAACAATGAGCTGATGCTGTCAAGGCCGTGCTGGAACACACATTCGACAACCATGAATTCTGTGGAGACTTCTGCTTACGTAAAGAGATGTCAGAAAAGGAAAGGAGTGAGTGTGGAAAATTGTACAGGAGCAAGACAAAAGACAAGTCTCTCTACGAATCACTGGTAGATCCTTTCAATCAATTTACCACGATGGAACGCCTCGATGAATCAAACCATGATATGACAACTAACGCCAATGAATCGCTCAACAACACAATAGCCTGGCTCGCACCCAAGAACAAAGTCTACGACGGTTCACTCTCCCTCCAAAACCGGTTTTGCATTGCTGTTGGCATCACTCTGTTGGGTGTGGAGGAGTTCTTCAGTAGACTGTTCCTCGCCCTTGAGTTGGAAATGGAGGAAGGAACCGCCTATTGCTTGCGGCAACAAGAGGAGTATCGGAAAAAAAGAATCAGGAAGCGAAGGACCATCGAATACAAAAAGAAAATAAATAGGGAAACTTACTTGAAGCTCAAGGAGTACCAGGAGCGTTCCTCAATCGTGCATGACTTATATCGAAAACCGACCCTAATTTTGGGTCGGATTTAGGGACGGATTCCCCTTTAGGGTCGGGTTTCGAAACCGACCCTAAAATTAGGGACGGATTCTGAAAAAACGTCCCTAATTTAGGGACGGGTTTCGATTTAGGGGCGGGTTTGAAAACCGTCCCTAAATGGAAGCGGGACTGAGTGGTAAATACATTGAAATCCGACCCTAAAATAGGGTCGGGTTTCGAAACCGACCCTAAAATTAGGGACGGATTCTGAAAAAACGTCCCTAATTTAGGGACGGGTTTCGATTTAGGGGCGGGTTTGAAAACCGTCCCTATTGCTACATGGAATTAGGGTCGGGTTTCAAAGATTTAGGGTCGGATTTGGGTCGTATTTTAAACTCACCCACGATTGAGGGACGCTCCAGGAAAAGCTGGAACAAGACCGAAAGGACAGCCGCATGTATTCCTTTGGTATCGCCATTGCCAAGACAAAAAAAAATCCAGCGAAGACAAGAAAGATTTCGAAGAAAACTAATACTACCGGCAAAGTGTGTGGAAGCTGTAGAGAAGTTGGCCACTCGCGATCCAGTTTTCGCGGATGTGTCAATCACGGAAAACCCAAGTCATTACATGTGCGAGTTGACACAGTCCCGATGAATGGAGAGGATGCAAAGCCTTCAACTGACGGTCAAGCAGAGATAAGCGAGCAAGACATCGCTATTGCAACTCTACATCTTGTAGATTGTATTGGATTTGGCGAAGATTCGGAAGCCGTGACTGAGGAACTGGAAGAGCTAGCCGGTGCGCACGAACAAACAATCGCTACTTCTGAAGAATAGAATTGTAGAGTAACAAATAGTTTGAGCATCTAAGTAATTGGATTATACTGTCGGATTATAGAACACTCTCAAATCTGGCGACACAGTAACTTTTTGCTACGTCGCGAATACTTCTTCCTTGACATGGTATCAACGCACTCCTATTTCATCTTGGAGGAAAGATCTTCTTCGAAACGTCCTTGCTTACGCGATCGCTCTTCAGTGGAGAGGAAATCAGTGGCCTTCGCATTGTTGAAGTTTGGGTACACCAACCAAATATTTTGAACAACACAAGATGGCAATGGGGACGCAACTTCAAACTGGAAGATGTTTGTTGCGTACCAGAAATAGCAGCACCAGCGCTTGTGAGACTGTGTCAGGCCTTTGAAGTCATGACTGTACACTCTCCCATTCGTTTTCTTCAAGATGTATTTCTTCAAAGAATGGAGGAGATTATTCTTATCCACCAAGCTGAGCGGGGCTTCATTCACACCACACGTCAAGAGACCATGTTCCTCAACGCAGTCACACTTTTTGGGCTTGTCGTCAACTTCATCCTCCGAATGATAATCTTCAACTGGCTCATCATCGACACAAAGGTAGGCATGATTCATTGCGTCAGTGACAAGCTTCTTGATGCTGGGGACCACAACAAAAGATGCATTATAAAACTCATCCCTGTCTGCTCTTGCCACCATCTCACTTGCCGCCTCAGGACGAAGAACCATAAAATTCTCATATGGGTCAGGCTTGAACTTGGTCATGAAAACGATTTCTTTATTGTCCTTGCAATGGCAAACATCCTTCGTACGGAACCTGGTCCGCCTGATGTCACCTTCCTTCACAACATTTCCCAGAACATTGGGCGGCAGCTTCCACGACATGTCGAAGATGATGAGAGAACAACGCATCCTCGCTGGAAATTGCTGAAACCAAAGGACCTCTGCCTTGTGGATAGTCAGCATGGAACCACGGTCAATCATCTCCTTGTCCACAATCAACTGATGACTCAAAGCAGAATCACAAAATGCATAGATGAGACTGTTGCTACCATCAGCGAGAACAAAGCAAACAAGGTCAGCAGGCAGATGCCCAAAGGTACGTTGGATATTGAAAGTAGCAACAACCAGAAGCTGTTCTGGGAAGTAGATAGTGGAATCCTCATCATCTCTCTTGTTGTTGTCAACAGAATCAAGCCACTCTCGAGACCTCTCAAATGTGCCATCCTCCAACTTCCTGAATGCTGGCGTCTTCTGATGACTGAAAGCCAAGCTAGCAACAAAGTCTGGAGATGGCTCTCCAGCATACTCAACAACAACCATGGATGTTACCGGCATGGTGTTCAATGAAATGGACGTTTTATTATCTTGCTTCTATCCTACGAAGGATTTCGCCGTGGAATGAGTACCAAGAAATGGCGTCTCAACAACATGGGAAATGCAGATTCCTATCCGGCTGGCTCTGTTTGTTGTTGCTTGTCGCGATGATTCAGACTCCACAACAACAACCAACTGCCTTTTTTGCCAACCGACAATGATGTACGTTGTGGTGCTGGTTCTTGCCCTTCCGGTGCACCAATGAGGGTATGAATATAGCGGATGGAAGGTGTGCTTGTGCTCTACAGGACACCGTTGGGGTGGAGAGTTGCCGAGGGGTGTAACGTGTAAGTGACATGGTGCAAAGTTAACAGACTATTTTCGATACACCAAACTGACACCCTCTGTTCTACATGTATAAAGGACCAGCACCTCTCTACCCCGATGCAAGTTAACAGCCATGGCTATTGCGAACGCACACATCCACTGCACGGGTCTCTATGTGATCGGTGGAAGGAACGGCAGCGGCAGCCATATAACTGCTTTGGATCATGGTCGGTTGATAAAAAAGCTCGATAAAAGGAAGAATAACACGAGAGATTTCCGGGTTCCTACCGACTGACGTGCAGACCTGGTGGTACCTCCTTAAGCCATCTGAAGCTCCAGAGCTCGCCTTCTCACAGTCCAGTTAGTTGACAATAATAGTTGTTCAACAGTACATGTAGAGCAACATGTACCAGTGGTACTCTCCTCCGTCCAGAGTGACAGTCAAGTCACACATGGGGCTGAATCTACATCTATCGTGACTAAATATCACGTCATATTCGTGACCACGTCATTGTTTTGGATCTTGCTTCCGAAACCCATCATTTTCTTGACCTCGGAAACCATTTCCTTCATGTTTGACGTTAGGTTGAGAGTCCGAAAACGCCAAGAGATCAAGAAGAATCGAATCGCATACTAGCTAGTGCATGTCAACGGAGAAGCAGCTCTGGTTGAATTTCACTATTGCGTGACATTGGTACATGTATAGCTACGGTAGCTGGTTAGTCACTCTCCCTACCAGGTTACTTCGATCCAAGTTTTTTCAATAGACTGTCACTCCACCACCATGACGGGTAGCACAGCTATTCACGGCCAAGAAGGTTTTGATAATGGAGATGATAATAGCGCAGCAGCAGCAGAACGGGCTGATGGCTTCCGCGCGGTGACTGAAGCTGGCGAAAACAGTGTCCTACCAACAGTGGCGACGCCAGAGGAAGATGGAGAAGTGGAAGATCAACGAGAAATGGCTGCCGCTGCGGCAGAGGTATCTGTCATGGATCGTACTGCAAGAACTAACGGCCGCAGTGCCACTGGCGATGAAGCCCTGATTGGAGCCACTGGAAATGCTGAAGGAGTGGGATCCTTCGAAATGGTTGATGAAGTGGGAGAGATGGTTTCACAACGATTTCTTCAGTTCTTAATGGACTTCTCAGAGACAATTTCAAGAACCAGACCCAATCCCAACCCCATGGAGGTGGAAATGGAAGAGGTGGAAATGGAAGAGCAGACTGTATTTCCATATTCGGAACAAGGCAGTCAAATGGCAAAGCGACAACTGGAAACCCGGGCAGCTGACGATTCGGCGAAGACACAGCAATACGGTTTCTCTAATACCATGTTTCTGGACTTTGACCATGTCATGAAGACAGATCTGGAACTGGCAGAGGCAATTCAATCTGATTTTGGGCGCTTTGAACCGTTCTTGAGAAAGGCCGTTCGATCATTCGTACATGACTTGCATCCAGAGCTTGCCGACTCTGCATCACCATCATCTCAAGAACAGACCAACTACTTTGTTGCTGTTCACAATCTGCCTAGTCTATTGCCAGTGAGGCACCTAAGGACCGATCAAATCGGTCGATTGACAGCCGTGGCGGGAACCGTCACGCGTACCTCCGACGTTCGACCTGAACTATTGAGTGGCAGCTTTCGATGCAACAAATGTGGGTTGCTTGCCGAAAACATTCTGCAGCAGTATCATTTTACACGCCCCACGCTTTGTCGCAATCCGCGGTGTGGCAACTTATCTCCAAAAGAGTTTACTCTGGATTCTCAGCGCAGTGAGGCTGTAGACTGGCAAAAGCTAAGGGTTCAAGAGAACTCGGACGAAATTCCACCCGGTTCCATGCCTCGAGCGGTCGAGGTGATTATTCGAAACGAAATGGTGGAGAAATGCAAAGCTGGCGATCAATGTGTTTTCACGGGAACCCTGGTGGTAATTCCCGATGGATCTGCACTTGCAAGAGCTGGAGAAGCGCCCAAGGCCACTCGAAGTGGACCTAGTGACGCCGCCACGGGAGGAGGCGGTGGAATCCGGGGATTGAAGTCATTGGGTGTGCGAGAGCTCACCTACAGGACATGCTTTGTTGCTTCATCTGTTATCCAAACCGAAGTCCTTGCGAGAGCCGCCAACGCCACAAGCAACACTGCAGCTTTGATTTATGGGAGCCATACATTTGATTCCCATGAAGCAACTAAGGAAGAAGTGGCTCTGGAATTCACGGCGGAACAACGGGAAGAAATTAGGACAATGAAAAATAGCCCAAGATTGTATGAACAGGTAAGAGAATGCGACCATGATCAAAACACCGAGCGTCTTATCTGATTGTCTCACAATTCCAATGTTCAGCTCGCCGATTCCATCGCCCCAGCAACGTTCGGTCACAGGGAGATTAAAAAAGGCATCCTCTTAATGCTGCTGGGTGGCGTCCATAAGACAACTGCAGATGGTATCAAACTTCGTGGTGACATCAATGCTTGCATTGTCGGGGATCCCTCCACGGCCAAATCGCAATTCTTGAAGTATGTCCATTCCTTCCTTCCATCACGTGCAGTGTATACTTCGGGTAAGGCTTCAAGTGCTGCAGGCCTGACGGCGGCTGTACAAAGGGATCAAGATACTGGGGAATATTGCATTGAAGCGGGTGCTCTCATGCTTGCAGATAATGGAATTTGCTGCATCGACGAGTTCGGTACGTTACCAAAGTTGATGTTTTGTCTGTGCCAGATCTTCGTCTTTAACCGCAAGTGCCCCCAAAATACCTACTTCCAATCGAAGATAAAATGGACGTTGCTGACGCAGTTGCTATTCACGAGGCAATGGAACAACAGACAATCAGCATCACCAAAGCAGGCATTCAGGCTACTCTCAATGCCCGGGCATCCATCCTTGCAGCAGCCAACCCCATACACGGTCGATACGACAGAACACGCACGCTCAAATCGAACGTCTCTCTTTCGGCACCTATTCTCAGTCGATTCGATCTCTTTTTCGTTGTGCTCGACGATTGCAACCCTGTGGCAGACAATCGTGTAGCCCGACACATCCTCAACGTCCATCGATGTGAAGAGGCAACAGTCACGGCTCCCTTCACAATGGAGCAGATGCGGAGATATATACGTTTGGCAAGGTCTTTTCATCCCGAGATGACAGCAGAGAGTCAACGTGTTCTCGTGGAGTGCTATCGAAAGCTTCGTCAAGGAGATACTTTAGGGGGGTCTCGTTCCGCGTACCGAATCACCGTGAGGCAGCTTGAGTCCCTCATTCGGCTTTCCGAAGCAATCACAAGATTGCACCTTGAAGAACAGATCCAACCATCGTATGTCCGAGAAGCGTTCCGGCTCTTGAAAACTAGCATCATCCAAGTAGAGACATCTGATGTTGAGATGGAAGATGAGGAGTTGGGCAATCCTAGAGTGCCGGAAAACGAGGTTGCAGAGGAAAGCCAAGAATCGCAGCCAGAGGAAGGAGACGACAGCTATGACCAGCCGGATACTCAAACAATGATGCACGGGGGGGAATACCCTCGCGGGGAAAGCGTGACAAAGGAGACAGCGGAGGGTGAAATGGAAAAGGCACCCCAGGAGAAGAAGAAAAAGACCAAGATATCCTTTGAAGAATACGAGTCGATCACTAATGCAATTGCAACGCACTTGCGGTCTCTTGAATCAGAAGCAGACGACTCTCAGTCGCAGTATTTGAAGTGGAAGGACGCTGTCGATTGGTACCTTGTACAGATTGAACATGACATCGGCGACTCGGTGGAACTTTTGGATCAGATGAGAAAGAAAGTCAACTTGGTGATCAGACGGCTTCTGAATGTGGATCAAGTATTGGTCACGCTGGGGGATGCACCGAGAAACAAGCGTGAAGAACAAGAATCCGTCTTGGCTGTGCACCCCAATTGGGTTCCTTAGCTGGCTGATGTTGCTGTGCCCTTCGTAGCATTTTAGTAGTGTAAAGTTTCCTGCCGCAATTATTACTGTGAGCGCGAGGGCTTTAGATGTGTGGTTCATTAAAAAAGCGACATCTTCGGTCTTCATTGCAACACAAAAACGCGTTACACAAAAAGGAGTAGAGTAGATATATTTACATGCACAATGTATGGCTGCATTCGCCTCACAAACTTATGTCCTCAAATTACATCATAATGTCGCCAAGATACTCTCTTGCTCCTTCTCCCTTACCAGTCCTAGCCTTTGGAGAAGCCCACTTGAGTGAACTCTTGGAACGCATCGCCTTGATGACAGCACCGGGGTGCTCATTGGCATCTTGTCCAGCTTTGTAGAGTGCGTCTCCAACCCAAACTGAATTGAATCCTTTATCTCTCAAGAACCAAGCATCTTCAATTTCTTGCAGCTGCTGGTTCTTCCTCGTCAGTATGTTGGCAAGCATACAGACCTGCTGTCCGTCAGGAATACTGAGATCAGTGATGATTTCAGCTTTTGCCTCGACATCCTCCAAGCAAACAATTAAGATGATTCTGGCGCCAAGGTCGATTGCCTGCTGAGCTTCTTCTTTGTTGGAAACAGCGACTATTGGTTCCATATCCACCGCTTTCGTAGCTTTGAGAAGAGTCTCGAGTTGATCGCCCAGCACATCCAGCGTGAGGACACATCCAGTCACGCCCATTGCAGCGGATCGAGCAATCTGTAGCTCGTCAATAATGAGATCATTGTTGATTACAGCAATGGGACCGGGAACTTCATTCTTGGCTCGCCTCTGTTCCTCTACAAAATCTGCCAAATCTTTGTAGGTGCATCCACCCATTCTCTCGTCTGCCATGACGGCAACTGCAGACGCCCCGTATTCGCGAAAAGCTGGAGAAAGCATCTCGGGGTCATAGATATCTGCAATATACCCAGCCTCTATGGCATCGTTCTTTCTTCGAAACTCCGCAATAATGGTGATGGTGCCTTTTCTCTTTGTCAGGGCTTGTTGCAGCGGCCCAGGGGTGCTCAGATTTAAATCAATTGTATCCTTTTCAAGTGCTTCTTTCAGCACATTGTACTTTTCCATCACACTATCTTCGATTCCTCCTTCCACGTATTTCCTCAAATCTGCCTGTTTTGCTTTCTTGGCAAGGGCGCCAATAGCATTGAGCGGGACGCTGGCAAAAGCACGCGATTTCGCATATCTCTGGGCATCACTTGGAACAAAGGCCCAAACGCTGGATGCCGTACTCCCCGCTGCAAGCAAAAGGAAAAATGGACTTGAGTACTTCATGATGCTGCTGCTGCAATCTCGACGATGCTGTTGTTGGCTGGGGAATGATAATCAGGAGGTCAAGTACCCGTAATAAGCCGAGCGACGAGCGACAACAGAGAGGGTGTCAATTCAGAGAACAAAAGCAAAAATGCAATCATGCGAACGGTTAGCAGACTGACGCACGAGCACGAGGCATGAGGTTACTACGCTAGCTAGTTATTCTGCCGTGGTATTACAGTGTCTGCAATAAGCGTTTTCTACTCTTTACATTATGTAGTTTCACTTTTTCTTGCAAAAGTTTCACTATTTCAAAAAGTGAAACAGTAAAGAGTAAAAGGTAAATCTACCTCATCTACCTCAAAAAAGGTAGACCACATAGAAAGTAGATTTACCTTTTCCATTTGATATTTTTGTCTCTCCGTTAAGTAAAATTGGTGAAAAGAAGTCATCGGAAGAAAGATCGATCGGCCAGGGAGTAAAAAAAGGAAGCTGTTATTGCAGACACACCCAGTGAAAATGTGAAAAAGTTGAAAGAGTAAACAGTAAACAACAAACAGTAAACAGTAGAAAACCACTATTGCGGACACTGTATTGGTACCACGTAGCTAAGGCTAAGGGTACAGTACCTACCAGTACCTGGATTCAAAGGGCATCAGATCACATGGAATGATTACACTTTGATCGGCACAGGGGGCGCTGGTGAATGCACGAAACAAGTTCAACGGTTGCCCCCCACCCTGAAGAGGCAATTGACAATCACCACGAACACTCCGGGCGCGTTGTCGGGGGTATCGAGCACCCAACTGTCAGGGGAAGGTTCTTTGCCATGTCCCTGTACTTTTTTACGTTGGATAGCCTGCGTGTCCTCTCTTCGCATGATGACTTGCACACTGCCTGGCCACAACCTAGTATAAATGAACTCACAAATGCATTCGAGGGTCTTTGCTCCAGAGCCTGGCAAGGAGATCTGGAAGAGATCCAACACAATGCCCATCAGTTCACTCGAGCCGAGGTGCTGCCACACCGTTGCTTCGAGTCGTGCTACATGGTCTCTCTTTTGAGAGATGGCTTTGGTTTCCCTCCAGAATCCAGGGACATCACATTCACCTTCCTTGTGGATGGAAGCGAGGTGGGGTGGTCTCTTGGAATGTCATTGGAACTCTATTCCCTGAAGGCCAGCAGCAAAAACACGTCTGTGCATATGGATGTAACGTGCCATGTCCAGAATGTAACATCGCAGCAGATGGAGGCAGCACTGACTGAAGCACAAGCGTCGTCTTTCGGTCTGGTACAAGGTTCTGATTGACAGCCGCAAGTGTGACCCTGTACACCATCATTTTGTTCTTTGTTACGCATAGCTCGTAGTCACAGTTTTGTCTCCGTGGAATCGTGAAGTGCACGAGGCGCCGGCCCAGACAGAACTTTTTCACTCTGGCCTAACTGTGAAATAGCCCCTCGTGTACAACCTAGTTTGTTAGCTTTTTATAGTAGTACCGGTTGGGTAGCTACCAGTACGGGTACTGTACATCCGTGGTACAGTACAAGCTGGCTGGTACCGTACCGCATCACCTTGTACTGACGGCGGCCGGACAGATATCGTGACGTGGATAACGCCCAGAACTTACTTCCCGTGTGGAGAGAAGGGTGAGCAGAACCGTTCGACGTTTTTCACTCAGGATTTAAAATTGCCCCGACTGACTCCCAAGGTGTAAGGGATTGTTTAAGGGATTGTTTGTTAAGGGATTGTTTAAGGGATTGTTGCAGATTTAAGGGATTGTTTGTTAAAAGGGATTGTTTGATAAGGGATTGTTTGCTCCTGATAGGGGATTGTGTCATGGCATATGGCGATAGGCTTAAGGGATTGTTTCGAAGGTTTAAGGGATTGTTTCTTAAGGGATTGTTTGATAAGGGATTGTTGAAGGGATTGTTGAAGATTTAGGGGATAGTTAAGGGATTGTTTCAAACCATTTCCAGTCATGCGAAATTTCAATATTTTTTAAATCCTGAGTGAAAAACGTCCGACGGTCCAGGTTGCCAAAAGATGACACCATCAGAGAATCTCATTGTTTCAAAAGTAAAAAGACAAAGGATGAGGGGATCAACGATAGTTACGCAATCCGCAACAAAGTGTGCGGAGACCCCTTCAGATTCGATTCGGCTAGCTAGGGTCAAAGGAGAGTTGAATGCCTTGCCAAGTTCCCTCGAAATGCCCCGAAACCACCAGTACGTACCGGTACAGGTACCACTGTGGTACTACGACTGCAGTAGATGGCTGCTCTAGCTAGTGGTAGACTACTGCAATACACAAGTGGTACTGCAATACACAAGTGGTACGGTAGGTATCCATGACCCACAAAAGCAGAACCTACGATAGAGCCGAAACTTTGAAATGATGCGAAGTTGCCAGAGCCCCAGTTCGGTATGAAGCGACACCTGATACTGTAGCCTGAGGCGCGGGTCCCTCTTTTAGCTAACTAGCTAGTAGCATTTGTAATTACAGTTGTTCCAAAGTGTCCCGCTTTCAATACATGTACCGACCCAAATGCAAAGAGCGCATTCTAGGGTCACTGTAGGTACCGTATGTGATTTTCAGTGCCTAGTAAGTTACATTAAGATTGTCCTGTGAGCATCCAAGGATGCGCACGTACTTGATCCAAACTCAATCGATCTTTAGGGTCCAAAAAGAGCATTCGCTGTAGAAGGTCCATGGAATCACTACTCAAACCAAGTTCCCACTCTGTAAGCATTTGTACCAAATATCCCGCTGTCATGTATTTGAATCTCTCATCGGTGGCACAAGCACGTTCCCATGGTGGGAAACCTGTCAGCATGAGGAAAAGGATCACACCAGCCGCCCACATGTCCACAGCAAAACCATCGAATGGATCACGATTCAAATAGATTTCAGGTGACATATAGATCCACTTTCCACATGTGCCCTGAGGCTTCATCAAAGACCTCAGTGTTGCTCTCCCATCAGGAAACGTCGAGGGAGCAGGAGCTCCATTCATGTTGATGCCTGCGAATGCTGAAGATAGTGCGGGAGTGTTATCTGCCAGGGGAACCCGAAGACACATACCAAGATCGATTATCAGTGCCCTATTCTGGTGTACTAGTAGGTTTTCAAGACTCATGTCACGATGACAAACCCCTGCACTTTGCAAGTTTTCGAGGCCCTAACACGACGGGTTGTCAAGGGTGGCAAGGATGCATTCGATTCAAGAACAGAGTACGGCGAGTTAGATCCCAGCCTCGGCATGCCAATTTTTTCAGCGATGGCATGGGCTCACTCACCGTCAGCACCTGATGCATCCAGTATCTGGCCTCATCCTCTGAGAACCGTTCGTTAAGGTCGAGCCTTTCGAATAGTTCTCCACCATCACAGTATGGCATAATGCTGTACAGATTTCGATCGTCAGATAGCAAGTCCAGTGGCATCATAACATGTGTGTCCATGACTGCTTGGTTGGAAGATATAATTCCTGGGGAGTTTCGATTTCTGGATTCATGCCATTGCCTTAGATATTGCATTGCTGAAACTTCCTTAATCGGATCTTCTGCCAATCTATCTCGTTCCTTTCGAATAAGTTGTCGGGACATTTCCTTGACAGCACAGAATTCAGAGGTGACTTCCCAGTCTGCATTTATCGCGTTTGGTTGATGTTGAGTGTACCTTCGCCGTAATACAGTGGCAAACAGCACTCTTCCATAAATAGCTTCTCTCAATGTTCGTTGGATCCAGTAGGCTCGATCTTGGCTGTCGTCATGTGCCATTGGAGGCTGTCCAGCTGCGATTGGTTGGCCTCCATTTCCATCAGCCAAATCCATGTCACTCATTGCGCTTGACGAAGAAGACGACACGGAAAAATCATCGCTACTCATGGATGAATTGTCACCTTTGCCTTCGCCTGGCTGCATGGAGTTGGTGGCCTGTTGCTGCGTCGGTGGTCTTGCCATAGTTCTGACCAGTACATTCTGCACAGTTGAGACTTCATTTCGGCTTGGGTGATAGATTCGCGTGGTGATCCGAGCACAGGGGATAGGTTGGGCTGGTGGAAACTCTCTGGGGTCTGCTGCTAGTGCTTGGGCTGCAGCAACACCAACATCCACGCCAAGAGCCACAGATTCTGCAGTCAACCCCGGATAGTCAGAATTGTACTGAAATTGCATTGGCCTGAGCTAGCTTGCTAGTTGTCAATTTGTCTGATTTGGTTCAGAGACTTGGTACCGTACAGAAACAGAAAAGGGCCACACGGCGACATGCACTCAATCGAGGTATCCTCGGCCCGATCCCAAGAATTGAGGCTACGGTACTACGGTAGCTAGTCTGTCTGCTTAGCTAGCTAGCGCTTGGAACGTTGTGCTTCTGGATAACAGAGACGAAGCCTTGTATTCTCTGGTAAAATTTGCTTGGCGTCGGAGGACGTTGACGCTGTCTTCGATCTCTTCGTCGAGCCGCAAAGATGTTTCTATTCTCTTCGTCGTGGACACCGCCGCAGCCATGCAGCCTGAGACGAGGCGCCATGGCGGTCGATTTTGCGATGACCATGTCAAGGTTAAGGCTAAATTTCAGTCCTTCACAAATCAAATCGTGATCTATTTGATCTTCTACCACGTACGAGTTTTGGTGCAAGCAAAGCAACGGCTACAACGTAAAAGCTGGCCGCCAAACGCTCGAGCGATGATGACAAGCTTCTCAACAAAGCCATGTCATTGCTCTAACCAGACCGGTCAAAAATAATAAAAACAATCGAAGGAGACCATTGCATTCAAATAGGCAGAAAAGGGAAAAACAAGTGAAGCCATGAGTACCCCCAAGAAAGACGATTACTACAGTGAGTCTCAGGATATGCTCGAGTCGAGTGGAAGTTCAAAGGCAGAGAAATGATACAATTGTCTAACCACTCATTTTTGTTGTTCTCATTGGTGATATCGCCGTTCCCATGATATAGCGGGCCACGACTTCAAGTCGTTGGGAATCAATATCGCCAGTTTCTGCTTATTCTTGCTTCCTATAATGAGCTACCTGTTCCGAGACTTGTGGAAGGAATTCATTGGTGTGGTTCTGGTGTCCTTTGCGATCGCATACGTTCTCCCACCAGTCGGCTGGAGGCGTCCTCATCCCTACTCGGATGATCCCACGAATCTCCCATGGCCAAGGAAATCAGAGTAGAAACCTGAAGAGACTATGAATGGGCCATGACAATTCAAGTTTTGGTGTTCCTTCTCGAGTGACGGACGGTGTCATCTCGTTCAGATTGCACCAACATTGCTAGCGATTGCGTGGAAAAGGATGGAACACCCAAGCAACAAAACAAAGCAAATCAAGCAAACAACAACTCACATAACGAAACAACTAGCAAGGTATTTTATCTAATTTGGGGTCATTTCTCTCCTTTTCGCCCTCCTTTTAGGTCCATATTGGGGGCAAGGGGGACCTTTTATTGATCAAGGCTAAACCTCCAGTTTCGGTTAATCAAGAAAATACAACAATGTACCAAAAAGGACAATTGACTTTTCTCCCTTGATTTCTCTACTCTGAAGATCGCTTTTGGCTCGGTATACGTAGACTGCCAATATGAATGATTCAATCACCAAACTGTGAAGCTATTGTTGCCAACAATGGCAACAATAGCAGGACATGTAGCGCCTCCGAGCAGAGACTGCAGGGCGAAACACCCGCACCGTTTCACATGCTGCTTCCATGAATTTTGCCGTGTAGTAGCTTGCTACTAACAGTGGATTTTGACTCTCCGTCAGATTGGATACATCCCACTAGGGATCCCTTGTTTCAACTTTTGAGCTATAGCTGGGAGGCAAACCGATTCCAATAGGAAAATCTATACATTTACCAAGGTCTACTTTTTGCCTTTCTTGGCCATTTTCTTCTGGAATGCTTTCAACCCTTTTGCTGCTTTGGAAGCCTCACCGTCGGATTTGAGCCCACTGGCGAGCTTGTCCAAAGCTTCCACAATAATGGAAGACGCTGCTGCCTTCAAATCACCAGGGTGCAACGAACCATCTCCAAAACAACTTGAAATCTCCTCTGAACTACTAAAGGTGATGTCTCCGCCGTTGTCATCTGATCGCTTCACTGTTATGGACCCCATAGATCCAAGCTCAAATGCAAAGACAGAAGCGACCGCAATTGGAGGACAGAATGTAATATTTCCTGGTTCGCAGAAGGCCTTCTTCATCTTGGACTTGCCGTGTACCTGGCGCAAAAGAAAGGTTTTGTCAGTCGCGTCCGAGTCTCGCCAATGGGTACGTCATTGTTACCTACCTTTGGATCATCCAGAAGAAAGTACTCGTCATTCTCCGTTTTGTAAGCATCTGATTCTCTTTCAGCCTGTAATCGGATTGGCTTTGGTGCAAACATGGATACCGAAGGTCCCACCATGCTCTCTGGCAGCTTCTCTGCAAAGAACCTCTCCACCAAAGCCCCCTCCGCCTGTGAGGCTAGAGACTTCTTCAGTGACAACGACGCTGGCGAAACACCGAGTACATCCGCGACTTTCATCAAGCGTCCCACAACGACACCGGCCCCATCCGCGTCAACAGTGTCTTCGCCCATTACATCGTTCAACATAAAGTGACGTCCAACATTAATAACGCTGATCCAGTAATCACTGGGATTGGCAAGGATGGCTTCGCTTTGGTAAATGACCTTGACAGTTTCCATCAGAGCTGCATCAAGCGCCTTTAACGCAGCAAGGAGGATGACATGGTAGGATTCTATACTCTTGATCTCACCGTTGCAAGCATTGCAAACACGCGCAGTCCAATCGGACAAAAACAGGACACAAGGCTTTCCGTTGGCCGTGCGAAGCTGCATTATGATGTCCACTGCTTCTTGCAAGGTTGGATTAGCAGTTGGCATGCCCGCAAAGACAAGGTGTGCACCAGCAGGCACTTTGCCTTCCTCCACCAAGTTCAGTCTCCGAACTTTGCTGTCTTTTGTGGCCGTAGTTGCTTCCTTCTTGAACTGTCGCACTTGAGCCAACAGCTCTTTTGCGGTAGGATCGTCAGCGAAATGATTTCGAACCGGTTCAAGGAGTTCATTCAGCGAATCAATCAAGCCTTTCTTTAGCTCCGCTTCAGAGATCTCAGCATCCAGGAAGGCTTTCTTGACGCTCTCAAAGTCCTGGAACGTCTTTGATCCCGCCGAGAAGGAAGCCCCGGGAGCACTGAAAATGATGTTTCCAATATAATCGAGGCATGGGTTTTTCAGGGTATCCTCTACCAAGTGCATCGATTGGAGTCCTGCATCAATGGGTGTGTCTGCATCGCCTGATGCTGGTTTCTTTGGTTCTTCCGGTTTGGAGGGGCAATAAGCGTTGTTGATTTTGCGTTCTACGTCTACAGCAGCATCCTCCATGAAGATTGCTGAATCAGGATCACTCTTGCTCATTTTTTCCTGTCCAGCCTTGAGACCGAAAAGCATATGATGGCTGAGGATGATTGGTTTGTGCTTGATGCCGGCAGCGTCGCAGTATTCTCGAGCCAGCATGTTGACTTTTCGCTGATCGACTCCCAGCTGACAAATGTTTGCCTTTAGAAAGAACACGTCCGTACATTGCATCAAAGGGTATAGGATTTGAGCGGCAGTGAGGGAGCCCTCGAGTCGTCCCATGATCTGGCAACACTTTTTCACTCTGGTAATGTTGAATCTCCTAGCAACATCCAACATGGTTGGCCAATATTTGTCGGCTTGTTCAGTGATCTCCTCCGATGCCCATTTGAAGACGACATTGGAGAGGTCCATTCCAGCGGCCTTCCATACTTCAATCAAATAATTTCCAACCACTCGAATTTTGGCCAGGTCTCCCCCCATTTTATCGTTCATGAGAGCAAACCAGTCAGCCACCCAGAAAACGAAGGTTCCATTGGTGCCTGGTGCTGTGCATTTGTTGACATTCATGGCTTTGAAAACTCCTTGTGCAATGTGCATGCGGCCACTTGGTTCAAAGCCATCGTACAAAACGAAGCCTGGTCCTTCGGCTCCTCGGCCCCTGGAAATCAGCAACTCCTTCAGCTCGGCCTCCGAAATGCATTCTTCTCCTACGGAACGAATTCTATCAAAATCAATCTGGAGATCGTCATTCCAGGGACGTTTGGGTTGAGGGGCCTTCTTGCCGCCTCCTTCGTCTGCCAAAATAGAAGTTTTGCCAATGACAAAGAAATGAGAGATTGCTCTGTAACAATAAACTCCTCTCCATTGGCCTAGCAGTATTCGATCACTCACTTTTCGTCATTCCGCTGTCTTTGTCTTATCTAGCTAGCTAGCTAGCTACTATCAATCTCCCAACACAAGCACTTCGATACTGTACTCTGCAGAAGAAATAATGAGGATGGTCTGGGTGGGTTTGTAATGAGCATCAACTCCATGTCCATGAATGCAGCGAAACACGCGGCGCGGATCAATTGTGGTTTCAGATGCTGGCTCATAGCCTGCACAAGGCATGCATTCGACCCATCCGACTCGATTCCCAACCCAATTGCAAACACCCGGTCTGTCGGTCCAGCACTGCTGCATGCTTTGAGTATTCAACTGCTGCTGTATACCCCATGTTCTAGCTGGCAACCTGTGTTGACCGAGAGTTGCTGTTGGGTTTGCTGTATGCTGTTGAACTTCTAGTAGACCAGGGCACACCACTGGAACCAACATATACGGTTTTAGGGAGTTAGTTGGTATCATCTCTTCATTTCAAAACACTGCGTATAGAGTCAAATCGAGTCGAGTCGCCACCAAGGCCCAGATTAAGCATGGGCGTGCCTTGCCATTCCTAGAAGAACAGTTGTTGTGGATCGTCGATAATCTACTGGTGTCTCCATGGATTTGTTAGTGGCTCGAAGGATCTATTCAACTAAGCGTTCGACCGGCACCCGAGAGAGTGGGAAGAGGTACAATGAACAATAGCCCCGACGAAGAGCAAAGTAGAGCTCTTCAGCCGAGACCACTCAGAATACCAGCTTCACAACCCCCACCTTTCCCGACATCATCAGAACACTTGAATGGAGAAGCTGCGCCTACAAGTTGCCTGGTTGATTCTGGAGAAGGAGAGTCTTCGATGCCTATAATCAGCGACGCCGACGCTGCTGGGGATCCTGGACAAAACCAGGATCTGCCGGGTGCCGCACCAACTACCGGCGAAGGCAATCCTGGTCAGCCAGATGATGTTGCATTTGAGAGCTTTCATCGAAGCTTCACTATCGGTGGCAATGTATTGGATAATCTCGGAACTACTCCGAGATCAGGGGATGGACCGTTCCCATCTGTGGCTCCAACCGAGACTCAGGATCAGGCACCATCCCCGATGACTCCATCGCCAGTGCCGCCACCCGTGATCCCCGAGGCTCAACTATCGCAGCTACACGAAGATCCAACTGTAGTGCAGGCACGAAAGTCTATGATGGCGCGTACAGGAGATCGTCACGCACGAGGCAAATTGCCTGGACCGACAGAAGGAAGGTTTGTAGCGCCAGATCGGGGGTCCGCAGAGCCACAAATACCAACTCCACGGAGCTCCAAACGATATACAAGGAAAAAGCAACGCTTGCCGGATTTTGTTGTGGGGTACCTACGAACTGACACTCCTGCTCCGTTGAAAAGTAGTGAGCATGTCATCACATGCAGACGATGCGACAAAAGTCTAGGAGCACTCAAAGCATCGGTGGCTATCCGTTGCAAGGCTTGTGGGGAAGTCAACCCGGCATCGCCTGGAAATAGATATCATCAACCACGTTTTTCAGCAGGCTAAGTGGTTTTGACAAACACAACGAAACAAACTATATCATCGGATACCCAGCTTCTGGCTGGGAAGTCTGTGCCAACAACTTCCCCCCTGTCTGTCTATGCCTTGCATTGGGCAGGGCTGGTTCAACACTCGCTGTCGTCTGCGCAGTCTCCTGCAGGGGCAGGGGAAGGATTTGCAGGTTGTCTTGTCTGCCGGTTGGCCTATCTTGTGCGAGCAAAACAACAAGTTTCGAGATCCCACGGAGATTAAACACCAATCCACCGATGAGCTCGAGGAACGTTCACTTCGGACACGCTGAGAACAAGCATCCTGATTCGTCACACAAACTTAGGCAACACCAATCCACTGATGATGCACGTGTGTCGGAAGCCGAAGACAAACCTACCGGGCGTCACGCAACCTCAGGCACGGTTGCTGACAATTGCTTGGGGCATACACATGAATGGGAGCGCTTTGTTCAGGAAGCCGAAGATAGCATTCTGACCATCAAGCAACCTCAGGCACGGTTGCTGACAATTGCTTGGGTCTTACACATGACAGGGGGCGCTTTGTCCGAGGCGCTTTCAAACAAACGGCGTGACTTCTTGGCAATTCGTTTTGTCGATGGAATTTCGACCCGACGAGCTTCCTTCCTAATGGAGACTCAGGTGGTATTCCAAACACTTGGGAGTGAGTTCGCTCGTCTGCTAGCGACGACGCACAATCAGCAACATTCCCACGCTAGACCAAAGTTGGGCAAGGAAGGGTATCGGTCGATCGCTCGTTTTCTTGGTGCTTCGACAAGGACATTGTTGAATCCACAACACGGTTGTCTTGCTGCATACATCAACAATTCTCATCACGCTAGAGGGGATGTCCACTATTCATTGATAGTGGCGCTAACAAGATACTAGGAGCAAGCAATGAAACGCTCCTAAATGTGCGTTTCTGCAAACGGAGACACGGGCAATGCGACCCGCTGGTTCTACTGCCTGCTACGGGTTTTGTTGCAAGAAGGCTGAGGTCGCGCAGTTTTGAGATCCTCCAAATCATCTGTGCCAGAGATATACAGACCAGAGCAGCCATCTCGTCGAGCTCAGTTTCCTGGGGATCCCTAGAGAAGCTGTGTTTGTGACAGAAGTAGCTCGGCCTACTGTATGCTGGGGCAACCTTTTCTTGCACTTCCCATAGAAAGACCCTATTGTCAAATACAGGGTGAATTACTATAGTAATTCACTTGCACTGTGAATTACTATTTTAGGCAGACTACCTACTGGTCCGGAGGACCCTGTCAACGCCGGTACGAAATGTGCTCGAGGGCACAAGCGACTGAGTAGTTAGCACCCATTGATATAGTCACACGGAGAGATATTGATAGTGAACCAGCGTCATTGCAAAAGGAGGGTGATCCACTCATATTAGAGCTGCTACTATCTACCATAGGATACATTCTAATGCCAGCATTCGCCTCCGCCCCGTCACCTAGGGGTGGGTCGCTTTAGCTGGGTGCGTGGTGTGCATCATCTCTCCACGACCGAGTCCACTGTGGGTTAGCCTAGATTTTGATCCTGGTTGTCAGATGTACGAGACATCCCGCACATCAGTGCTTGTTGCCGCTCTAACAGTCTATTCGGATGTCCGAGTTGTCGTTGGCACGCTGTCCGGGGCAGATCGGTGGATTCCAGCTAGCCAGCACTGTGTTTTCCCAGTGATAGAGTGAGGGCCTGTTCCTTTTCGTCCGGGCGGAGCCCCAATGGTCTTCCATGAAAAGTCCCGTTTGTCCTCAAATTCGTTGCGGACAAGTTACCAAAGGTTGCTGAGGTGTGCTCGTTGTGTTTGTGCGAGCATGTCGCCACGGAGAGCTCCGTTCCTGTGTTCCCACATACATCTGGAAGTGTTGGTCCCAGATTTGCTTTATCAATCCACTAGCTAGTCCACGTCAGGCCATCTCAATCTTTGTTCCTGCTACCCGTCCGAGGGTGCGTATTTGGACCTACTCGAGGGATGTGGAGAAGCGTCCCAGGAGAACGTTCCACCTAGGGTGCTTGATCCAAGCATGCTTGTCGTATTGATGCTAGAAGGTTTGCAGTAGCCCTGGATGGGTTTGTCAGTCGCTGTACCAGTACTTCAGCTGTTGGACGATGAATACCCGGAGTCGGGGATGGGTGTGTTGTCTTCACATCCATGTGTTGAACCTGTTCAGCTGTATATCTTCATTCCTTTTCTGCTGCGAGGATGACGATCCCACGCCCTCTCAAAACGAGCAGGAAACGGCCAAAGCCGTGGCCCAATTCATCAATGAGGGACAGTTTGGGGTTTGTGACCACATATCTCATGCCTAGCTTCATTGTCCTGAGTTTGTCCTTGGCGGAGGAGAAGAGGTAGGGGTCCACAGTTTCCCCCTTGTATGCTTTGGACATGACATCATTGAGGATCTCCATGCGCCATTCTTCCACCGGGATTTGCTTGAATGGTGTTTTCTTGGAAGTCCTGGTGCACTGTACCTTTTCTGCAAATTGGGACATTGAAAAGGTGCTCAGGATTTCTCTCAGGTTCTTGTCTTTGGATCCTCTTTCCAGAGCTAGCTAGTATGGTGAAGGATTGAATGGTTTTTACATCTATCTATCTTGAATCCAGTCGCATGCCAGATTGGGGTGATGGGAATTGGTTTGGCCAGGAGGCACAGTCTCCTCCTTGCCTGATCTGCTGTTTCCAATGCTTCATCCTTTTGTGCTCCTCTGCCCTCACCTTCTGTCTTCTCCTTTTCAAGCAGAACCACTCTCTCCCCATCCTCCTGGTAGATGAGATCATCGTCATACTTCGAAAGTACTGGCTTCTTCATACCTTTTGGCATGAGGGCAATGTAGATTTGCACTCTTATGTTGCCATCCAGGTTGGTCGTGAAGCTATCCGCATGCCAGGCTGTGACAGGCATCATCAAGTAGCTTCCATGAACAACGAAACCATGTTGTCGCCCGCTGAACGGAATTGTCGGTTGTTGATCACCTTCAGGACCATTCCATGCGGCTGCAATGGCATAAAAAAGCTAGTTGAACACGTAGATTCCTTTATCAAGGACTTCCTCCTTGACGACCTTAGCCTGGATGTGCAGGTGATTGTTCTGAGATGATTTGATTTGACACAAAGATTAGTAGAATTATGTTCTACTGCGCCGAAGGCATGCTTTTACTTCACTAGGAAAGACAGGCGGCACTACTGGCCGCATGTTCAAGTAGAAGGGTTTCTCATGCTACACATGAGGACTGTACAAAAATAAAAAATAAATCCAGAGAAAGGAAATAGAAAATGGTAGCAGGTTCTTGCCCCGATCGTTGCATTACATCCTGCGCCCTGGGTCATCGCTCATTCAAGGGAAGTGTGCATAATGATCCAAAATGTTGAGGTGCTGCCGTTGCACCGAAGATAATCGTAGTATTGCTGCCCGAAGCAGTGGTTCTGAAGTGGTTGACATTTATTCTCAATCCAGCGCGCTGTTGTGGGGATTTCTGCATCACTCAGGTTGTTGCCACAGTGAATGCTGAATGGAGGGGTGTCGATTTGCTCAAGGTATTAATGCTGATGATGAAGTAGTTGACTTCCTTCTGGTCCAATGTCTTGTCCGATTGCTTTCCCATGAAGACTCCGATGTTGGAATTTCTGCTCCACCCAGGTTGTTGCCACATTTGAGAGTGCATGGAAAGAATCAATGGAAGAAGTTCCGGTGTGGGGATTTCTGTTGACCTCAGGTTGTTGCCACTATGGGTATTGGATGGAGAAGGGTCATTTTGGTCGTTTTTCGGATTGGGGACTTGGGAGCATCAGCTCAGTATTCCATTAGGTTCATAAGTGTTGATAGTAGTGATTTTCTTGTTGTAAAGTGTATCGGTGTGTTTTGCATGGTGTAATTGTCGTGCCGTTCGTCATGGTCGATCTTTTTATTGTTTTCTTTTATTATTCTTGTAATTTCTACGCAGATTTCTACGTGTTTTGAGTACTGGTCATTATTAATTTAGTCATTCAGATAAAACCAACGCTGGAATTATAGGTGATTGTTCTGAGATGATCTTGGACATATGAATGGCTTGGACTGCAGGAAGGCAGTGTATCATTGGACAAGATCCATCTGATCTGTAGCACACACCTACTACAGCCGATACCGGTACATACACGTATCGGGACTACACTACAATTGGCTAGTAGTCTACCGGTACAGGTTTTGACCCTAACCTCGGCAGGTAAACTGCCTGAGTTCTCAACCCCTTTAACCTCGGCAGGTAAACTGCCTGAGTTCTCAACCCCTTTAATGCTATTTCCTATTTCCTATTTTCTATTTTTCCTATTTTCTATTTCCTATTTTCTATTTCCTATTTCCTATTTCTATTCCTATTTCCTATTCCGGTGAAGCCAAAGTATAAGGATAGAGATAGTCTAAGTCAACAAAACTGAACTTGATGGTTCAATACAAGTTAGGGGTAGGAATAAATCATTAATATTTAAGGTAGTGCAATCAACACAACAGCACAATAAGCCAGCAGAGTTGTAAAGGGTAGAGTTACAAAAAGGGAATGGCAGCTGGTAAATTATAGAGTAGCGGGCGGCAACACACGACGTAGTCGGGTGTTGTCGCCAGGGCTAGCTTAATAAAGAAGGTTGCAATGAGGGAATGAATGATACCGGCGGCAACACACGACGTAGTCGGGTGTTGTCGCCAGGGCTGGCTGAAAGATGGGTGCAATCTCGAACATGATCCTCCTTCTTCTATCTGTCTTTCTGCCGAGGTATCGCAGCTCCCGCTGACTTAAATGCTATTTCCTATTTCCTATTTCCTATTTCCTATTCCGGTGAAGCCAAAGTATAAGGATAGAGATAGTCATAAGCCAACAAAACTGAACATTGATGGTTCAATACAAGTTAGGGGTAGGAATAAATCATTATTATTTAAGGTTAGTGCAATCATCACAACAGCACAATAAGCCAGCAGGAGTTGTAAAGGTTAGAGTTACAATAAGGGAATGGCAGCTGGTAAATTATAGAGTAGCGGGCGGCAACACACGACGTAGTCGGGTGTTGTCGCCAGGGCTAGCTTAATAAAAAGAAGGTTGCAATGAGGGAATGAATGATACCGGGCGGCAACACACGACGTAGTCGGGTGTTGTCGCCAGGGCTGCCTTGAAAGATGGGTGCAATCTCGAACATGATCCTCCTTCTTCTATCTGTCTTTCTGCCGAGGTATCGCAGCTCCCGCTGACTTATTTTCGCGACAAATTCTGGTTTACGCGATAAAAGCACGGACAGCTGGTCAGAAGTTGATATCCCAAATCGCAGAAATAGGGTCACCAATAAAGCACCATCACACTGCCAACAACTCACCATGCTATTAACGCTTATGATAGCCAACCCCGGCTGTGTGATGGCCAATTAATATCTTCCAAGATAATAGGAAGCTTGTCATGCTATTGAAGGAGTGCTCTTGTTGAGGATAGAGCACGATTTTAGCGAACCTCTGCTTTGTCACTGATGTCACTGGTGTCCCTCCGAGTCACTGCTGCCGCCATTATCTTCATTGTCAGCGTTAGTTGCTTGTCGAAGAAAGTCTTTTCGCTCAGACGATGTCATTCCGCGAATGGTTGCCAAAGCTTCTATCTGCATCTGTTGACGCTGCCTACCAAGTTGAGTGTCTTCAACGGAGAGGGTATCGATCTTTTGCTCAACTCTTTGAAGCTCCGACTCATCTTCCTGCGACCACTTGGCAACAGGAGGAACCACCTTGGCTTTCAGCTCGAGCCATTTGGCTAGCCTTTTTGGCTTAGTCGCAAGTTTTGATGGCACTGGAGCTTCCATCTTCCATGACAACAAAACTTTGAGCTCCTTGCTATTCCAGTCTTTGTCAGCCCTGTTCTCATTTGCTTGGAGCAACGACAATGCTGTGCTCTCTCTGAGTTCTGCTTCCTGTCGCTTTTTCTTCAGGTTTTCCAAGCTTTGAAGCTCCGACTCATAAGCTGATCTCTGCAGAGCAATGAAGTAATCATCCTCATTCAATGCCGCACCTCCGGTCAACTGAAAGTACTTGCCGCCTCCAACCTTGACCTTGGCAATGGCATCCTGCCACTCTCTTGTTCTTGGCTTCAGGATGGCGTCTTGCCTCTTCTTGCTGCTGAAACTGGTGAGCTGGATTCTAAGTGGCTTGGAGTTGTAGCCATCTCCATCCAGAATGGAACAGGCCAACGTATTAAGGTCGCCGAGACTCTTCAAATAAGCCGCTTCTGGATCGTTGGCTTCATCAGCCACTCCATTCTCATCAACAACTTGCTCATGCCGGATGTGTTTGCTTTGGAGTGCGACTCTTGTGAACTTTGGAACTACACCAAGTTTGTTAGCCCAGCAGTGTCGAATCTTTTCAGGAGAAAAAGCTGCAGCCGCAGCATTAACCAACAGCGGCAGGTTTGGATCCTCCTGTCTCTTGGTGCTGTGTTGACTGCCGAAAACAAGGAGACTGATGTCGTGGCATGTCAATGTTGAAGTAACTTCATAGTTATTCATTCGATATTCTCAGAGTTTCTCTAGATTGTCAAAGTACTTGGTTTTGAATAAGCCAAACAGCATGTCCATGATTTGTAGGATATGAGTTGTGCTTGGAGGACCGGAAGGAAAAAGATAGATTCCCTTCTCTCGTAGACGTGTGAGCAATCCGTCATTGTTCTTCCTGGCCCTCCATCAACAAGGACAACAACACGCTTGCCTGGGACATCAGCACAATCGTTAGCCACCAAAGGGAGGAAATTCTTGAGCATGTATTCTCCAAACTGCTCCTTGTTCATTCCTCCTTTCTCATTAACACCGTAGGTGCAAGAATACTCTTTTGGATGGCTGGATAGATATGTGGCTTCTGTCACCAACATATCCTCAATGAATTCGAGTGGAATGCCTTGGTTTTCTTCTTTGGCATCACTTGGAATCTGGAAATGAGGTGGGAAGGACTCGCCGGAAGCAAAACAGCCAGCCATGAGTGTGCACGTATAACTGCTCTTATGAGATGCACGTGTTGAATTGGCAACAACCCTGCTTGAATAGAATCCAAAAGCTGGTCGTCCACCTTTCCCATTACTTGTGTCATCGAGAGCCAAATTGGATTCATCAATATTGGCAATCCTTTTCTCTTGGCCCTCACCAAACACGAGCTCTCCTCGTTCCTCCCATTCAGATTCAGGGACGTGCTCAGCAAAGCCATTGTCGACAAGGAAGCTCTTGAAAGCAGTGAACCATTGGTTGATGTTGCTGTAAGTGCTCCACTTTGCCCTCCGTTGCTCAATACGATTTGGTTTGCCGAGGTCTAGCTCATCGGCCACGTCCTTTTCGATTCGCTCAAACAACTTCCGTCCTGGTCTCGAGTCAACACCTTCCTTGCTCCTGACAACTGCATTGAGTTTTTTGATAAGTCCAGGTCTAAGGTTGGATATCTTCGTGTTCTCTTGCTGGGAAAGAATTGCATACGATTTCACGGCATCACAAAGAGCTGTGTACGCATGGTCTGAAGTTCTTCCTTTTGGTCCTCTTCTTTGCAATCCATCGAATCTTCCGTCTTTGACATGTTCCCTAACAGTTCTTGCTGATATACGTGTGGTCAGCTTGTCCTCGTACTCTGTGTTAAGTTGCAGGCAAATATCTTCGGCAGATATAGGTCGGTATTTGGCGCCGTTCGCTTCGGCATTGGCTTTCTTGTTGCATTCCTCCCTCCAAATGCTACATGCTCGTAGAAAGAGCTCCTTCCGAAGGTTCTTTTCTGCCACTTGTTGCTTCCTCAATCCATGAGCTTGATGGCAAGTGAGGCGCATCTTTGTTGGCACGTTGGTTGGTGCAACAACTCCACGTTGAGAATTGGTTGCTGATGGAAGTGGATGCATTGCCGCAACTGCCGTTGCCGGTGCTTGGCCTTGTTGAGGAGTCTGCTTGCCGGGGGTGAGTATGGCATCTCTAGCACGATAGATCTTCTTCTTGAGAGCTTGGCTATTCCTCTCTTCCTCCGAATAGCCAGCAAATTCCATCGCCTGGTTTACGTTCATCGCATTTCCCTTCCTCGACAGCTTGAGAAGCATTGCAGCCCGATCCACTTTGCCGCTGTCGGCGCTCCTCCGTTTGCTTGCCATGAGTGATGGATCTGAAATGAGATAGCTTGTTGCACTTTAGAAGGTTTTCCAGAGAAGCATCGTCGACTGCCACTCATTGCTCTCAGCGTGGACTAGTGGTGTGCTTGTTCTTTTTTGTGTTCCAAGCTCGGAGCATTGGTTGCCCAAATTGTCGGAATGAGATTTTGCTTCGAAAGCCATCTGATGCGCTTTAAATACAAAACTTGACTATAAGTCTTTAGCGTTTTTACTCTAAGTACTTTTGTCTCACACGATGTCTTCGTCATGTGGCACAATAAGCCAGTCTTTGTTGGTGGCAGTTTCAATGCGACGACGATATGGAACCAAGGCAACACCAACACATCCAATATGGATGATGGTTGAGAGTTGGACGAGTGTACGAGATAGATGGATCAGATTCCTATACGCACAATGTACAAACAAATAGTCCTATAGTCTTATATCTACGTCCTACGGCTGTAGCTAGTTTGACGCTGTTGCCTCTCTCAGAATGATGCCACGATGCTCAAGTTGTTTGGCGGACCGAATCATAAGCCTCGCTGGTAGCATAAGCCAAAGCTTCTACAAAGTTACGAGCAGATCCAGATTCACCATCGTATGGCAATGTGACCGTAATGGAGTCAAAACCTTCCTTGGTGTGGGGCAATGTGATTGCAATTCTGAGAGCCTTCAACCCGGAGTTAGAAGACTTGACCTTCTTGGGCAAGGAGACAACCCATTTGATGTCTGGGGGCAAGCAAAAGGAAGAAGAGATGCTGGTAGATGATGCATCCTCTAGCACCAAAAGACGGAAGAGTGTAGTGTTGCCAAATTGTTCAAGCACTAAATTGCCACAAGCTGTTTCCTTCGGATTGCCATCACAACGAACTTGAACCGTGCCAATGGACAAGGCCTCGTCACCAAATAGAGAAGCAAGACGTCTCCAGCTGACCATGATTGCTGCTGATTTGTGAGACAACAACCTCTTCCTGTCGGTGGCATGAGATTGGCGCCTAATTCAAATTCAAACCAAGGTTTTCAGGAGATGCCAATGCCAACTTGCGGGCTCCTCCGACCACTCCTGCTTCTATGCTTCACTCTTCTTCCCACAATCTGCCGACCAGCACTCCAGTCAGCACTCATAAGAAGCACCTATCGCCACCATGAAGATCACCATGCCATCCAAGAAGCCAGCATTTTGCCCAAAGAAGGGCTTCTCCTGCAAAGATCTCCACATTGCAATTGTGGACATCCCAAACAAGACTCCGGTTCTTTCTGCCTTCGCTTACAAGCTGAAGCCTCTCGAGATGGACTCCCAGATGCATCTCCAAGATGCCGTGGAGGCGGCAGTCAAGGAATATGCCAATCACCGTGATGTAACGATGCTTGTCACTCTTCCGGGATGGGCCTACTGGCCCAAGGAACAGTTTGTGGATTTCGTTGGGTATTGCCAGTTCCATGGAGACGTCAAGCGTCTCTGCTGTGCCACCTCTGACTGCATTGTCCTCATGACGCAGACTGACTACACTGTCACCATTCGTATCTTCGGAAACAACAAGCTCTTGGAAGCAACAACCGAATCGAAGGACGAGAGTTTCGACTCTTTTGAAGAGGAAGAAGGCCTCACCCAAGACATTTTGCCCGCCATGAAGATGTCCCCCATGCGTACTCGTAAGCAGCGTTACAACTGAGGCAGAGAGCGGCTTGTTAATGATCATTCCGGTGGAGTAAAGGCGTCGAAACTAGCGGCCGGTGTCTCATGGTCGCATGTCTCTTCGATTGTGGTTGGTTTCGGAGAGGAAGAAGAACGTTTGTCACGGATAGCTCATGACTGCGTAGACTTAAAACAATATTAAATGTTAATTAAATTACTTAATGATTAGTCTTGGCGGCTTTCAAAACACGACTCAGGACTTAAAGGCGATATGCTGATACTAAAACAGTAGAGTGACACGTCTTCGCGAAAATAGGGACAATTCTCGTACACGTACAGCTGTAGCTAGCTAGCAGAACTTCTTCGAATATTTACTATTATTGTTATGTCTTCCTCTCGTACTCCTCAGCAGGAAAGCTTTTCCGAGGACAGAACAGCAGACGTCTCATCCAGCCGTCTGGGTCACAACCACCAGACCACCTTTGCTTTGTTTCTTTCCAAAATCTCAACGGCAGATCCCATTTTGCTAGCTAGCTAATAATAACCACCATGACGATTCACGTTGAAAGAGAAGCGCTGTTGAGGTTGTTGGCGTCGAAGCCCCCATCGACACCGCCGCTATCGACGGTAATAGACTGCAACGACGAATACGAATATGTATCTATAGAGAAGCCCGCTTTCTCGGATGGAGTCAGGTTACAAGAAGCCACTGACGAAGACTCTGTGTACACTTCTTCAACTGCTTCCTTGTCTCTAGACGCCGACGATGACAAGAGAGTATCGTTTGTCGATCCTCTTGTAACGGAGGTGTGGACACGAGAGTACACATCAAAGGACGAAGCAAGCCGTCTATTCTACTCGACGGAAGAAACTCAAAGGTGGGTTGGGTTAACAGATGTAGTTGCGGATCCTGTAGAATCCTACGTAGATTTTGTACTGTGACCGACAGAGGCACAATTAATTTGCTTTTGACGTGTGACACCTCCACTCACCTCTCCTGTCTCCCTCTTCTTCTTTTAGATTTCGTCAAGAGTACCGATTAGAAAGAAAGCTATTATCCGATTTGGCAATCGATGTTAACGATTGTGCTAAGGATACCGACAAAGTTTTCTCAAGTTTGGCCGATGGGAAGTGGCAGCCGCAAGGCCGACACCTCATCTCACGTGTTGTGGTGCTTCATAACGACAAGCTGGAGACTTTCTTTGACACCGAGAAGGAAGCCTCGTCGCGTCACGAGGAATCGAACGATTTCTTCGACAGCGACAGCTTCTGGAGCGGATCGATCACATGGTACTAACCAGTCCTGAAAGCAGTTCAACTGTGTGGACGCGTTTGTTGACTGTGGTGACGTAGCTCCCTCTTCGGATGGATTTGATGCTCTGGCGGACGTTCAAATGCCATGCTCACGTTGAGATGTTGGGCGACTGGTGTCGAAACTTGAGTTCGGGAGGTGTTGAGGAATGGGGTTTGAATTTTGTATTGGATGCTTTCCTTGGAGGAGAGGCTTCTTTCATCTTTCATCAGCGACGCATGTTCACATAGACTTGTATGGTCTCTGTATTTTGTACCAATTAATAAATTACTCTATAGAGGGGAACTGTTTTAACTTCCAACCTGGCTGTGTTCCTGACGTTCCGCTCTTTCATTTATTCGACAGCGCTAACTTGAGTGACCCTTCTTTCCGTTCCGGGTAAAGCTGCCGAAGTCCGGATACCACAGTGTGGCCTTGCAGAACTCTGCTCAGCCCAAGGAGAATGAAGATGCGACGTTATTTGGCAACATGTTGTGTCATTCCACTGCTCCTCGTCATGTGCTAGGCTCTTGGGCTGGTTGGATGACAGCTGAGTTGAGACGACCCAGCAGAGAAAGAAAAGTACCAGGGAGAAGCAGGAAAACGCATTACAAGCATTACACACCTGAGTAGACTGGTTGGTTGTTGACTGTCAATGCTCTGGCTAATAGTGAGGCTGCAACTAGAGTAACTACAAACTATTTAATAATCAAAGTCAAACTCATTGTCGACTCTATCATAGTACTCCACCTGCCACATTGGCCGGTCCATGATCTTCACAATGTTGGCCACAGCATGGGCCATCTTACCATGTTTATCAAGGGAATGGCGCCTCTGAAGGAGGCAGCTCCATTCCTTGAGTCTCCTATTGACACATCTGCCTGCCTGCAAACCTCCGCTAGCTGTGTGATGTCATGTCCCATGGCATCAAAGTAACTGAAACCCCTGTACCCTTTTCAGCCACAGCTCTCCACCCCTCACAATCATTGACCACAGAACAAAAAATGGCAATACAACCCATCACCACAAGAAGGGACCATTGACCACACAATCCATGCCAGTGAATACCACACAACCAACAACCACCAACACAAACGAACCAACCAAAAAAGACCCGTCAAACAACCACAACAACAACACGACTCCCACACCTACCCCACACACATGAACGATAAACAGACTACCAAAAAAAAACCACCCCACAAGCAACCCACTCCAAAACCCACACCCAACCACCACCCAAAACACCAACACCACAGAACGAAACAAGAAAAAACCATCAGCCCAAAATCACACACCACCGCCACCAGACATACACCAAGCACCCTGAAACCCTAAGCGTACCCATGTTACCCTCGAAAGCCGCAAGGAATTCAAACAACTGCAGGGTAGCCGAAAAGCAATGAAAATCGATAAACAAAAAAACCGAAACTAAAAAACATACACAATCGCACCACAACACAACATACGGTACCCACACCATCAACACACAAATGAACTAAGCTACCGCAAAAAGACGTCAGGAAGACTAAAGGAAAATCGGTATCACCCATCACTGATCGTCCCGAATCACCGAACCTGCCTCATAAAAACACGGGGACTGACGAACATTCCCGCGGCATATTCAAATACCACAGTCAAATCTAGAAAAACGGGTTTACGGCAAGCGACCTCATTTCGCCTAAGAGAAACGCCCCATACAGCCAACGTCCAGAACTCGGATGCAGCAATCACAAGTAACAATACAGCAATAAGACAATACTATATAAGCCATACACAACAACCAAACTATAACATGAGAATCCGGAACGCCCAGACGTCCGACGCGAACGCAATCACCAGCATCAAAGAACCAAACCCCCAAGCAACAAGCCAACACAACAGAAAAGCCCCCGAACACACGTAGCAAACCTCAAACAAGAGACCCACAGCACCCCAAACACCCACAGCAAAAAACCAAAAAAAGACACCAAAACCAATATGCAGAAAACACCACGCAACACAGCCAGCACCAGACTCGGATCCATAATGGATCATCTCTGATGGACCCTTCGGAATAGCATTGAAGAGACAGGCTCAAGACCGCTCATCATAACAGTACAAACATCGCCTAGATAGTACCACGGAACCACCACAACCATGCTAGACAATCTTTCCACCTCCGTAGGATCGTGAGACGTAGATTACTACCGCAAAACCACTCTTCACACTTTACATATCTCCCGCGGGAGACCAGAATCTACGATCCTTGGATTATCTCTTCTCGTTGATTAGATTTTTCATAGCTTTCTAATCACCTCATAACTTTCAATTCTCTCAAACCAAAAACACTCGAAAGGATCTTTACACTACTTACGTAGTGCAACACTTTTCACCATGAGCTGAGAGAATAAAAAATCGCGAACTTATATGACCATTGAACCAGTATGACCTCAAGCCTTCCCGGAACACCATGCGTCGAAACTTATCCCAGTCACTCACTCTGCACTGGCTAGATCGATCTGCCTGGTATGATCTTGCCGTATTGCACAAGCGAACTCCACAGAAACGCCACAGGTGCCTCACACTATAGTAGAAACTACTATCAACGCTCAATATGGCTCTCCTTGTTCCTTCTTCTCACAAACGAAAAACACTCAACCCACAGTAAAAGCAATGCCAAGCAAAGGAATAACCAAACAGCAATCGGAAATCACACCATGTCATCAGAAAGGCGCAGAAGAAAGGGGAACCTGTGAAGCATATCTTCAAGCAGGACGGCGCCGACTTCAAGTTTCTGCTTCGACTGTTCCACAATGGAACCATCACTGATAAACAACCCGCCGCTGTGAGAGCCATGCATGAGCGATTCCAGAAGTACTCCACAAACCAGTTTCGCTATCAGTTCAACAAAGCCAGAGAAATGGCTGCCGGTGTTGCTCTCAGACCACAACCACACGAAGAGATGAGGATCACTACCGCATTCTTCCAGCTTTGTCCTGCCAACAAAGGTACCCCGGGGGGGTGTTTTTTCCCCCCCCCGGTCAGCCAACAAACGCCCCAGGCCCCTTCCCCCGGCCCCCAGCTTGCGCAGCTTCCTTCCAATTGCTGACAATCGATGATAGGATGATGGTAGAGAGGTATATGGCCCGCCTACTACTTGGAAGCGCGAAAGAGGATTGGTAAGGTAATGGGAGGAATGAGCATGGAATTTCTGCTCATGCGTCTAGCTGATTATGTGTCTGGCTGAGCAGTGGAGGCGAACTGAAGCCGACATTGAAACACTGGTTCTCTGCGAATGGCAAGAAGCTGACATCAGTGATGAAGTGGCACCCAGATACCTGCTGGATATTGGAGTCTCTATTTCTCTATCCAACAACAAAACACAAAGGGAAGACTGTAGGAACTGACCAATGTGGATGTGAGGCGCCATGCCATGCAGCAGTATGTCAGGTCCATCCTTGATGTCAGGGGTGATGTCATTTCAGAATTCACTATGGAGCTGCCCTTTCCAGTTGATCCCTCTACCCTCAATGTTACCATCCCCAGCTTTGAGTCTGGTGCATTGTTCTGCCATGTTGACTTGGCTGAGAAAAGGAAGAAAAGGGTAGCTCAATCCTTTGTCATGAGGAAGAGGCATGCCAAGGGCAAGAAGAAGGGTGATATTGAATACAACAACCTGACCCATCATCACTAGACAAACTCAACAACAGCCATGGCTTTGATGTGTGTTAGGCACACTGTAAACAACTACAACAACCAACCAATCTAGGAGCAACCTGTTGAGTGCTCATGTAATCAACCAAAAAGGGTAGCTTGTTGAATGCCCTTATAAAATAGTACTTGCATGTAGTGTGTAATGGCTTGTGTAGTAGTGTAATGCGTTTTCCTGCTCCTCCCAGGTACAAGGTAGGTGGGATGATAGTGGCAAGATGTGGTGACGTTCCACTGCTCCTTGTGTTGTGCAGTGCGCTTGGGCTGCCTGGTTGCGTGACATCTGTGCAGATGTGTTGAGACGACCCAGGCCAGCAGAGAAAGAAAAGTAGAAGGTACATACAGTTACTGTAAGGATAGCAGGGTCCTGGTTTCTTATTCCGCACTCAAGACCTTCTCGATGGGGATACCGGTACCACGGATTCGTGAAGAATTGACCACAGAGGCTCCTCTCAGAAATTCGAGGCCTCTCTCAGAAATTTGAGGGTCTCTCTCGAAAATTGGAGTTGCACCGTAGAGCTCTGGTACAGATTCTACTAAGCCACAAATCCGAACTCAGGCCCAAAATCTGAGGGCGTCGCGCGCCGGGCGACACGGTGGGTTGGCAAAAACGTTCCAGAATTCCAAAAAGATATCTGTGTAGCAATGTACCAGAGCTCTACAGCCTGAATTTCTAAGAGAGCCCTCGAATTCTTGAGAGGACCCCTCGAATTCCTGAGAGAAGGCCTTTGCGGTCAATTCTTCCCGAATCCGTAGTATTGCAAATAAGCAATTCCACTGCACCAATAGCTTGTAGGTCGCTCCTTTCCATTGAGATCTTGATTCAACAGTTCCAATGCGCCAACTTGTAGGTCCTCGCCCCATTCCGTCGTCAGATACTCTATGATATTTGTGATGTGGACAACAAAACTATGGTGCTGGTTAAATGTTCCAGAAGCAAGCTAATAGAGGAGAAAAGAGGCAAGTCTGAGTGCGTTAATAAGGAGGTACACCTACCTTTCAGTCTTATATGTTCGTGACTCATTTATCACTCGATAATAATGTTGATCTGGCACCTGGGCCCTTAAGTCTTTAAGTCCCATAGCCAGATCCCAATCACTATCAAGATGTCAGCAAGACTGAAAGTACATCTAAGAAGCGCATTTTAGCCACCCAATTTACCAGTGTGCTTGTGCGTGATGGTCTTGTGCAAGAGCCTCTACAGTCCGATGCAGGTGCCTACTATTAACTCAGCTTTAATCAAATGATCTTGATGTTGCCTATAGATTCGTACGGTACATTGCGTCATAATAAGCAAGGCTACAACTAGTGTTTACGCATATGCTTAACGAAAGTGCATGGAGAACAGAACATTCTTTACTATTGAGATTGAACAAGATTCTGGGGTTGGCCTGCTTTCAACATGCAAATCGGGCACATTCTTGTGCACCAAGCAATATAACAGTTTTCGGCAATACGGCATTCATTTTCATTATGTCCCCTTGGACCTGACCGCATCCTGCGCTTTACCAAGGCAAAAACTTTGGCCACCCTCAAATCTTTTCCACTATTGCACAAAAAAAAACACCACGATGGTCAAATCATTGCCCGTACTGTAAAAACGTGCAAAGACCGACATGGGGTTCTGAACGGCATCAGGATACAGTTTGCCGAATCCCGCCGCATTCGATTCAGACACAGGACTGACCCGACTACCACGTACAACGACGTGGGATATGACATGC